TCAAATGTCACGTAACAGAATATTTGTCACGTTTTTTTTTTAAATTTTGTTATTATTATGATAACCGTTAATAATAATAATTTTTTTTTGTTATAATTTCTGGTACCACTCTCTTCTAGTTTTATAATAATATTTAAAACCATATTTTTGGTATTATTAATTAATTTTTTTTTGGTAGAAATTTAATTTTGATACTATAATTGTATGTGAAAAAAAATTTAATGTTTGCAAGATGTTTTATTGTTTAAAAAAAAAATGTTAAGACAAATATTTTTACACTTTTTGTGCAATTTATATAAATAAATAATTGAACCTTAGATGGTATTTTATTAAATTGTCAAAGTCTGGACCAAACTGCATCCCGTTTCACAATATTTCACACTTATGTAACTTTACATTACGCTTTTCTAAAAAAATTACAGTTATGATTTATGGCTTCAAAGACACATTGACAGTTTGAATACATTACTTAAATCTGCCACTTTTTTTTTGTACCAAATATTATCTAACCTATTAACATTTATTTCTCCATTGACATTTATTTATTAATAAAATTAAATTAAATTAAATTAAAAATAAATAAAATTTAAAAAAAAATAAAATAATTTTTTAGTATCGTCACTTTTTGGTTACAACTGTATTTTATTTAAATTGAATAAATTAATATAGCACTTGTTGAAATAATTAATTGTTTAACACTGCTAAAAACCATCATTTACTTAAATAATTACACCTTTAATAATCGCGTTTTTCAAGAAGGTTACCAACTATTATTTACTCAGTAACAGGTTTGACAATGAAAAAAAAAGGAGACAATTAATTTACAGTTTTGCTGTTAATAAATATAAATTTTTGTGAAAAAATTAATTAATTTTTTTTTTGCACTTTTTTTTTTTATTAAACTGAATTTTGAAAAAATGGATTTTTCTCATATTCCTATATCGAGGATCAAGTTATCTTTTGACCTCTGAAAACTTTACCTTGGCATTATTTTTTGTAGCCATTTATATTCGAACGAGAAACAAACCAAAAAAAAAAAAAAAAAACCAACAAATACTAACAAATTAAATTGCATCAATTATTACCTATTTTGGCTTTTGTTCATGAAAAACAGGTTTTCATTTTTTTTTTAAGAATATAAAATTTGCACATAGTTTTTATTGTCTTTAATATATAGTTATGCAAATTAAATTAAAAAAAAAAGATAAGAATTTTCTTCAAGTTTAATTTATTTTTCTATTGGTATTTTTTCTAATAATAAACCGCGAATCACATTATTATTATTATTATTATTATTAAATATTTCCTTGAAAATAAAACTTTTTACGATTATCAGATGGAAAATAAATTATAATTTAAATAACAAAATTTTTTAAAAAATTTCTTTTAAATGTTAATTATTCTCAAAATCTTTCTAATTTATAATTAAATAACGAATTAAAAAACTGTTACTTTAAATTGTGAATTAAAAATTTTTTCTAATATCGTAAAAGTTTCTTTTAATTTTCAAAAAAAAATTTAATTTAATAAATTTTTAACAAAATTTTTGCGAATTTTTAATTTCTTTCATCCCAATTATTTAGTAAGTAATATTGAAAATTGTCTTTTTAGTTTTTCAAAAAAACCCTTTTTTCGTTGATTAAAACTAGAAGAATCTAATAACAAAATTGTTAATTAAATTTTTTTTACTAGCAAGTCAAAATATTTGTGGCGTTTAAAATCTATATTTTCCAGTTTTATTGAAAAGTGACTAATTTACACTTGACTGTCTTTTTTCTTAACCTTGACACTCCACAACGATTGTATTTTGTAATTAATGTCTCATCAAAGATAAAAAAAACTTTTTCTCATAAAACTCATTTAGTTTTTCCTTAATATAATAATAAATTATTTTTTCAAAAAAAATAAATTTCATAAATTAGAATTTAAGAGACAATAAAATTTTAAAGAAAACAATAAACTTTTTAGCAATTTTAGAAAAAATAAAAGTAAACAATTTTTTTGTTCTTAAAAAAGAAAAAAATTTTATTTTCTAATTATCGAAAAGATAAAAAAAAATTTGTAATTTTCATTTTTTGTTCTAAAGTGAATTAAATGTTTAAATAAAAATAAAAATAAAATAATAAATAAAATAAATAATTAATAACAAAATTAATGAGTTTCCTTAAATTTTATAATAAAATAAATATGTATCTAAATTTTCTGAATTTAGGTTAAGTATTGTAAGAGTCAAAATGCTTAAAAAATTCAAAATTACTTTCAATATTAGAAAAAAAAATCAATATCAAGCACATTTATATTAGAAACGATAATAAAAAATTATTAACCTAAAGTGACGAATATTTTCGTTTGAAATTACCACTCAAAGAGGCAGACAATCTAATCAATCACTTGAGTCAATAAAAAACAATATGACATGTGATGTATAAATTATTCTCTTTTTCTGGCGACACTAAAAAAACGTATATCACAAATTTTTTAACTCTTTCAACAAAAAAAAATCGATTTAATAATTATTGAAATTTGTATTTTTGTTTCAAATTAATAAAAATTAAAATTTTTTTCAATTTCTTCTTCAATATTTAAAAATTCTTTTTAATTAATTTCCTAAATGACATTTAAAAAATAATAACGATTGAAAAAAAATTTCTAATTCTATTTTTAATATTGCGAAAAAAAAATAGTATGCAAATCTCTATTATTAATCAAATTTTAACTTAATTTGCAATTTTGCTAAAATTGGAATGTAAAATGAATAAAAATATGCAAGATTTATACATATATACGTCAGCAATTCAGGATTATACTATTCGATAACGATCTACTGATTATCTCACTCTTAACATCAGGCTATTAAATTCATTATATAATAAGAGACAATTTAAACTTTTACATCAGCAAAAAAAAAAAAAAAAAAAAAAATTAAACGCGACATAACAGAAAAAATTAATTTTCCAATCGATGCACGTGTTATAAATGCTAATTAATCATTGGAAAAAAAATGATCATTTTGCATTCAAAACACAATGAAAAATCTTGAATTCCAGTTCATTGATCCAATGTAAAATAAACATTTTTTTTTCATTTTACTCACTTTTAACATTTTTAAGCATTTTGAAAAATGAATTTTAATAATTTTTTTTTGTAAATTTATTTCAAAAAAAGAAATTAATTTTAAATAATTTTAATTATTAGTAATTAATTATAAATTAAATTATTATTTATATTAATTTGTTTAGGAAATTAATTCTAACTATCGTCGAAGGTCATTCTATTGTTAATTAATTAATTTACACGAGTGAAAAAAAATCAGGTTTTTGTATTCAAATATTTAATTTCCATGTTTTGAGTTGAATTTTAATGAAGAAAAAAAGAAGAGGAAAAAATAATTGTAATATATATATTCAACAAAGGAAGTAAAATACGATTTTTTTAAATTTTTAAATTTTATATCGTTTAAAAAAAATGAATAAAATTTAAATTAATTAAATATAAATTTAAATTAATTAAATATAAATTTAATTTAAAATTTATGATTTTACTGCATTGATATTCACATTTCTAATTATGTACAAAAATTATGAATAAAAAAATAAAATTTATTTCTTATTTTATTTATTTACTCTACTACTTTTTATTTTATCTACTCATTGGTAATATTTAAAAATATTAAATAATTTTTTAATCCAATGTAACGAATGCAAATTTTCGAGAGAAAAAAATTATATAATTAATGTATTCCAAAAAAAAAGGAAGAAGAAAATTAGCTTCGTGTAAAAATAATTCAAGGCCAAAAATGGACTCAAAGTCCTTTATGTATGGGGGGAAGGCCCGTAATAAAGTAGTTTCGAATGTAGGTTATCGACTTGTTTCAAGAAGTCGATGAATTGGTATTCAGGTGTGATGGAAGTCGAATTATGAAACGTCCTCACCTTGACCGCATGCCAGGTCAAAAGACTTCTTTTTTTTTATTTGTAAAATAATATTAAATCACTTTGCAAAATAAAATTTTTTCTTTTTAAGAATCTAATTTTAACTAGATACAAGATCGTTTGATATTTGAAAAAAAATTTGAATAATGTATTTATCTCTCTCTCTCTCTATCTATCTTTTGCCAGACATCGAAAGGTCGATGGGCTTATTAAGTCTCGAGGAAATTGCAAAACGGTGATTGGTTGCTTATTAAGGAGGTTGTTTGATGAAACGAAAAAGGTTAGAAGTATTTGGTAATTTATTTATTTTCATATATATTGAATATAAATATTTTCTCTAAATATATGGAAATTATTGACCGATGTAGTTTTTCAAGAAAATTTTTGCATTCTGTTCATGGATTTTTTTTTTTGTGGAGGAGACAATTAAAATCAGATAACTCTTAAAAAACAGTAATCTAAGCCTAAATCTACAACCTAACCTCAAAATTATTCTTATATAATAATTTTGCACTATATGCCTAACCCTATTATTTTTATTAGCCTAAACCTACAACCTAACCTCAAAATTATTCTTATATAATTTTGCACTATATGCCTAACCCTATTATTTTTATTAGCCTAAACCAATAATCTAACCTCAAAATTCTTGTAACATAACCTCAAACTTTATACGTAAGGGGCCGTCCATAAACTACGTTGCCTATTTTAGGGGGGGGGACAAAAAAGAATGAAAAATTGGTAACGTAGTTTATGGCCCCTAACCTTACTGTTTTTGTTAAAAAATAAAAAAAAATTATAAAGAGGGGGGAGGGGGTCTAAAAAGAATGAAAAATTGGTAACGTAGTTTATGACCCCTACTATTTTTGTTAAAAAATAAATTTTCTTACTTTCAATTTTACTATCCTTTTGCTTTTAATTTCTCTATTAAGAAACTTTTTGAAAATTACGATTTAGTTTTCTAATGCCAACTTTTTTCTAAAGAAAAAGAATATTTTTCAATATTACTTTTTCAAAAATATATATTGTTTAATGTAAAAAAAAAAAATATTATTTTTATTTGCTCACCAGTGTAACTGCTTTTGAAGCTCTCGTGAAGTTTGAAGGTAAAGGGAATATGAACCTTCATCATTTTCATCTGAGGAATACGTGGTGCGTGTGTAATGACTCCACCTGTTCCACCGAACATTAAATCATCTCCATGTACTCTAAGGACCATCATGTTCCTAGAAAAAAAAAATCCAACAAAAAACAATTAATAATAAGTATAATAATTAATAAATATAATTATAATTTTTAGAAAATTATTATTTTTTTTTTGCAAAATTTAATAAATAATTAAGTTTTCTCCTAGTTACGGGAATTGAAACTTGAAAAAGAGGTTTGTCCACCAATTACGAAGTAATCGATTGCATAAGTTAAGCAATTAATATTTTAACTCGAATTCAACAAATTTTAAAAAAAGAAGTATAACAATACTTAAACTGCATAATTTCTATTCTTGAAAATTATAGTTAACTTTTTGTACATTAATTTTTTTTCTCACTGGAATTATATTTAATTTTCTTTATGCTTTTATTTTATTAAATTTTTTTGTTGAAATTATTACATTTACTATATTATATTTATTTATTATTTGATTAATAAGTTTTAATTTAATATTAAAAAAAAAAATTTTTTTTTTTCTTTAAATTTGTAAATTTTTTATTTACATGTTTCATAAATATACTTAAAAACGTTAATTTAAACTGTACTTTTTTAAATTCAATGTTAGAGAATTAAACTAAGGAATTTGACATATTCGTGATAATTAATTTGTTATCTTCCTAAAGTTAAGGTTAAGGTGAAGATTTTATATGTGTAAAAAATTTCAAATATTTTTAAAGAATAAAATTTGAGTTAAAAAAAATAATAGAAAATTTTTTATTAGATTCTCCAATCTTTTAAATCGAATATGGAAATAATAGGAGTAACATTACGTTTTTCAACCCTAGTAAAAAATATAATTTTTACTAGGGTTGAAAAATGTAATTTTACTCCCTAGTGTTAAAAAAAATGCAATTTTATTCACTAGGGTCGAAAAACGTTATTTTACTCCCTAGTGTTAAAAAATTCAATTTTATTCACTAGGGTCGAAAAACGTTATTTTACTCCCTAGTGTTAAAAAAATGCAATTTTATTCATTAGGGTCGAAAAACGTTATGTAACTCCCTAGTGTTAAAAAAATGCAATTTTATTCACTAGGGTCGAAAACCGTTATTTTACTCCCTAGTATTAAAAAATAAAATCCAAATTTTTACCTACTATTATAAAAATATGTAAAAAAAAAAAAATACAAAAAATAAGAGAAAAATAAATACAAAGACATACCTCATAATGAAGAGAACAATTCCACAGAAGCAAATAAGAACAGCAAAAACAGAGAAAATGTTGGATAATTCCGCCACAGAAACCAGCATTGCCGACATTTTACTCATCAGCACATGAAACGTTACACACGTTTTTTTTTTTTTTTCTTTCGATGCACTTGAAAAAATTTAAAAATAAAAATCACTTCTCCCCTATTTTTTTCAATGGGATTTTTTTAAATCCCATAAAGTGTCCCACACATGATAGTCCCATTAAAAATTCCAATTCTTGATATTGATATGAAAAAAAAAAAAATTTTTTTTTTCGCATCCCATCGAATCATTCGTGGGTGCCAATTTTTAAAAAGTCATAAAAAAAAATTTCGTTTATCGATGATAAACGATGTTGATGATGAAGAAACACATTGTTTCTTCATATGAAAAAGTCAAAAAAAAAAAAATATTTTCTTTCAAATTTCCTTTTTTGCCGGCGAGAGGACGCTTTTTTAATCGAACTCTTCACCGGTCCACTTTTAAATTACACAAAGCTCATGACGTTAATGTCCTCAGAAAAGTTCCTCCCCAGGATCGAGCATTGTTAAAATTCTAGAAAAAAAAAATTTTTATTTTCAAAAAAAAAAATGAAATTTGTTTGTGAAGAGAAATTTTCGCAAGTTTTGGATAAAAATTTTTTTTTTTTTTTTTTTTAATACAATAGAGTTAAAATTTTCAGTAACACAACTATATACAGGAGACAATTAATAATCAAGGGAGACGCATCTTTGAAATTCCAGACGGTTCAATGATCCTCTTTTTCTGATGGAAGAACAAAGAGTTGTAAAATGCTACTGAGGATTTTTTTTCTCCCCGCAACGAGCGTATAAATTGTCGAGTGTCTTTTTATACAAAAATTTGAAGAATTTCAAAAGTGTACAAAAAATTTAATTTTTTCTTTTACACTTTTTAATTTTTTATCATTTTTAATTCTTTTTAGTTTTTCTTTCATATCAATTTTGTTCCATTATTGCCGATATAGAGACGAACAGAAAAATGGTAAAAGAAGGAAATAAAAAAAAAAAAAAGTTTGTAAAGAACAGAAAAAGGTCAATACATATAATAAAAAGTTTGCCGCAATCTCTCTTATCACGATTACGTTTACTACCACACTATTGCAAAATAAAATGTAATGTGTCAGTGCAGAGTCGATAAGCTTTTAGAACATATATATATTTTTTTTTACGGTTGCTTGTTTTCTATATATCTGGGGAAAAAACCCTGACTCACAAATTTTGAATCTAATACCATCGACTTCTATGTCTCTCTTTCTCTATATATATATATATATATATATAGTCATGTGTTATTTTTTCTCCTCCCTTAAAATCGATTTTTCAAGGAGAAAGAGAGAATAAAAATTTTCATATCTACATACAAAGAGAAAGGAATAGTTGGGCTAAACATTGAGTATTGATAAATATTTGCCCCGTATAAATTTTTCATAACTACAGCAATATCTCTAGAACAACTATATTCTATGTTTGAATTATCAAAAATTTTATAACTAATTTCGATGGTTTAAATTTTATTCATAAAAAGTGATTTTAATTTTACATAATAAAAAATGAACTTTTAATCAGAAAGCATCGTTAAAACATAACCTATAATTCGTTTGCTTCTTAGGAACAGTCCATAAACTACGTTACCAATTTTTCATTCTTTTTAGACCCCCTCCCCCTCACCTAAAATAGGTAACATAGGGCCCTTAGGTGGCACAATTTTCTCCCTAGTATATTAAAAAAGGCTATTCTACTGTCTTCTCGCAAAAAAACAAATCTTCCCCTAGAACAACGATATATGTTTCACTAAAACAGCGAAAGTTTTCACTATTCTAGACAAAATATATCGCTGTTCAAGAGAAACTTATCGCTATTGAAGATTTTTTTGCGTGATAGAATATTGTAAATTAAATTTTTTGAAGAAAAAAATTAATTTTTGATCCCTAGTATTAAAAAAAAATATTATTTTAAGCCCAAGGGCAAAAAATCTTCTATTTTATTAAGTTAACAAATTTCACGGAAAAATTTATTTACACTTATTTTCAAATAAATAAAAAAATCCCTTATTAATTTATGCCTTTAGAAAATCTCACATATTTCACTGTTTCTTTTTGCAATTTTAACCCCAAAAAAAGGGTTATTTCGAAATTTTAAGCAATTTTTTTTCTTCGAATTTTTTAGATATATACCTATATAAAAATACTCTGTTTTTAAAAAGTTACTCAAAAACAATTTTTTAATATTTTTTAATTGTTTTTTTTTATTTTATTTATTGTTGTTTTGCAAATTTTTGGTTAGGAACCTATAATATTGTATACCTATAATTTTAAATGTCATTCAAATCAATTGTTTTAAACTTAAAAATTTTATCATTTATTTCAAATCTAAACATAAATAAATTTAAAAAAAAAATTATACTATAAAATAATAATAATAATAATAGTAATAAAAGTAATAATAATAATAATAATAGTAATTAAGAGCGTTTTAATTCTCCTGGTCGTTAAAATTGTTATTTCCGTCTTTTAGAAAATATTAGTAATGATAATGATAATAGTAGTAATAGTAATAATAGTAATAATAGTAATAATAGTAATAATAATAATAATGATTTTTTGTTACTGTTTGTATTAAATTTTTTTTTATCAAGAATTTTATCGCTTTTTTTTTAGTCACCAAAAATATATTTCAGACTATTCTTTTCAAGTTTTTCTTCTTTTTTTCTCTGTTTCTCTCTCTCTCTTTTTCTCAACTTTTTGAGATAATACTTTATGTTAATTATCATTTGTCAACAAAGAAGATGAATAATTATTCTTCTTTCACTGCAACTCTATACATAATTTATTATTTTCTTGATGCCACTAAACACACGTGTATGTTTAATTTTTTTTTCTTTTAAATTTTGTTAATTAATAACAATAACTGTTTTAATTATTCAATTATTTCAACTAATTATCACTTTTAATGATTCGAATTAAATAACTTTTTAATTTTTTTTAAGATTAATTTATATTTTTTAATTATTCGAAATTCAAACATTTTTTGATTATTCAAATTAATATATATATTCAATTATCTTAATTAATTAATATTGTCAGAATAAATAAGTTTCAATTATCTACATTAATTAATTATTCTCTTTAAATCTGAATTAGTAAAAATGTTTACTAATTTAAATTAGTGACTCACTTTTTGCTTTAGAATTAGTTCAATTTTACTAATTGTTAGTAAAAGTTACTAATAATTACTAAAATTTTACTAATTGTTAGTAAAAGTTACTAATAAGTACTAAAATTTTACTAACTGTTAGTAAAAGTTACTAATAAGTACTAAAATTCTACTAATTGTTAGTAAAAGTTACTAATAAGTAACTTTTACTTAACTTTTACTTACTTACTTAAAAGTTACTTATTAGTAACTTTTACTAATTTTAATTTTACTAATTGTTAGTAAAAGTTACTAATAAGTACTAAAATTTTACTAATTGTTAATAAAAGTTACTAATAATTAGTAAAATTTTACTAATTGAAAAAAGTGAGTCACTAATTCAAATTAATAAACTTTTTTACTAATTCAAATTTAGAGAGTTCTATTTTTAGAATCTGAAGTAAAGAAAAATCTCAATTTTTCAGTTTCTCATTTGGTTTTTTGTTGTAAGGATTGCGTAATTTTTTTTTTGTCAAAAAGTGAATATCAAAAATAAAAAATAACTCAAATAGTTGAAAATTTTTTTACAATTATTAAAAAATTATTGACTTTTTCTCGATTTTACATATCAAAAATTGTGTGCCACTTTAATTGTTAAAAAAATTCTCTCCATTGTTTTTATGTTTTCTCTTAGTAAATTTCTCTATGATTTATTTCCCTCGTCTACTTTTCCTTTTCTTAATTATATACATATACCGCAAAAAAAAAAAAAAAAAAAAAAAAAAAAAATACTCCATACTCTAGATTTATCATTTCCAAATTATAAATATACAAAACTCATCAAAGTGAAAATTTCTCTTCATGACACTTTTTTTTTTTTTTACACATTTTAAACTAAACTTTCTCACAATTTATTCGTAAAAAAAAAATTCATTTTTTCTACCTCAAAAAACACAAAGAACTCATGACATTAGTGAGCCAATTGGCAACATAACATAACGGAATTCATCGCACTCGTTCCATATTATTTCTCACGAGAGAAAATTCTAACCGCAAAATATAATATATATATATATACACTATATACGTATTGTGAATCACCTTATCGTCGACTTTCCCGTATAATGACAAAAAAAAAAATTAATTTTATTCCTTATCTCACGTCAAGTCTCGTTTACACTGTTCCCCACGTTTTTATGACGCATCGCGCGTCTCACACATACATGTATATATATATATACATACACGGCTTTTGACAGGTCGAACGATCGATCGCAATGAGTAAAAAAAAAAAAAAGAATTAATGGGACAAAAAAAAAATTGAGCCTCTCACTCCTATATCGTTATGTTGCACAACTTTTGACAAAAATATATGTACGCAAAAAGAACCTTGAATTCTTTACGTTCACGATATATATATATATATATATATAAGATAAACATACACGTCCTGCGCGCAATGCATTTGATTCGAGACTGTTATGAGAGTGAAGACTCACTTGTCTTATACACTTGGCCTGGTGGGATTATTTTTATTATTTTTTTTTTTTTCTCTCTTTATTTTGACACAAGCAGAAAACCGCACGAACACGTTGCGCCGACTCCAATACGGGCTGCGGCTGCTCATTGACAGAAGAAATAAAACATGGCCGCCTGTGTGATTGACTCTGGTAGTTGCGCAATTGTCGTTTGCGCAGCCGGTAAGTAACGGCCTCTAAAAAGAAATTTTCCAAATTGTCAGTAAAATTTCGTTTTCTTTTTTTTTATTTACAATTTTGTAATATTATTATAAATTCTTTTTTGATAATTTGTAATATAAAATTAGTCCATTTTTAATAATTTTTATCCTTAATTTGTAAACATTAAAATTTTTTCCACTGTTTTAACAAAAATTGTAATTTTTAAGAAAAATTGTTGTTTTTTTTTGATACGTTTTTTGAGTAGAAATTAAAAAAAATATTTATCATTTTTCGATTTATAATTTATTAAAAATATTAATTTAATACAGAAATTGAGTGTGATTTAATTCTAACCTAACCTAAATTGAGCGCCGTCTGTACGATATTAGTGAGAACTAAAGAAAATCGTCTGCTAAATACTTTTTTGTTTCTAAATGTTGTCAAGGGAATGTATATAACAGTTTTGGTAAACGATCTGAAATCATAATTATATGCTGAGTCCAAGAACAGTGAGACTTTTAATTTATAGCATTGGAATTGTTTTGTTAATGTCATTGAAATTGGTAATGACAGAGAGTCTTGGTATGTCAAAACTTGTGACAGTTGATTTTGAGATTTATGGAAGAGTCCAGGGTAAGTGACGCAGAACTGCAAAGAAAACAAACATTTTTTATTTATAATATTTAAAAGTATGAAATTAAAATTTTAGTTATCTACAAAAAAATTTTTGTTTCAGGTGTTTGCTTCAGAAAAGTGAGTATTTAAAATTAAAATTTGTGAATTGTTTTTCTATATTAAGATTCCTATATATATATTGTTATTTATAATAAAAAAACTTGTCCATCAAAACAAAATCTATATAGAAATCTCCTTTTTTATCGACATTATTTTTTGGCTGTTCGCTAGTGAACTCTAGCGGTGAAATTATATACCGATTGATGGTAACTGGTTTTTTTTTAAATTTCATAAAGAATTCTCTGTTATTTATTATTTATTTAGTTATTAAATTAAATTTACAAAGTTTTTTTTTTATTTTTACAGTATACTCAAAAGGAGGGTAAAAAATTAGGATTAATTGGATGGTGCATGAATACTGATAGAGGAACTGTTATTGGACAATTGCAGGGAGAAAAAAGTAAAGTTCATGAAATGTAAGCAAAATATTTCATATTTTGACAAAAAAAAATTTTTTTTAAGAAACGAAGGTGAAAATAGTTTAAATAAAATCATTGATTTAGATTATTTCTATTTCTCTGTTTCTGTTTTTATTTTATTTTCTGTATTTGAGTGATATTCTGAGTAATCAGTTTAAATTGGACCTAAAACAAAAATTTATTGTTCCGTTGAAATTTTATTTATATTATTTTTAATTAATTATTATTTTTTGTACAAGTTTTGTTTCATTTTTTTTTATTTTTGTTTCATAAACATTCATTTATTTATAAAAAAAATAAATTTTTATAAGAAATAAACAATCAACTAAAAATCACGTCTTTTCACGCTGTGAAAATAGACATTTGGCTAAAGTCACGTCATTTTATGACGTGAAAATAAATTTTTGGATAAAGTCACGTCATTCAACGGTTTTAAAATAGACATTTGGATAAATTAACGTAGTTTTACGTCGTGAAAATAGACAATTGGCTAAAACCACGTCTTTTTACGCCGTGAAAATAGACATTCGGTTAAAGTCACGTCTTTTCGTGGCATGAAAATAGAAATTTGTCTACAATCAAGTCATTTTACGGAATAAATATATACAGTCGGTTAAAATCACGTAGTTTTGCGGCGTGAAAATAGCCATTCGGATAAAATCACGTTTTTTCAAGAAGTAAAAATAAAATTTGACTAAAGTCACGTAGTTTTGCGGCGTGAAAATAGCCATTCGGCTAAAATCACGTTTTTTTCAAGAAGTAAAAATAAAATTTGGCTAAAGTCACGTACTTTCGCGGCGTGAAAATAGCCATTCGGCTAAAATTACGCTTTTTCAAGGAGTAAAAATAAAATTTGGCTAAAGTCACGTAGTTTTGCGGCGTGAAAATAGCCATTCGGCTAAAATCACGTCTTTTCAAGGAGTAAAAATAAAATTGGGCTAAAGTAACGTTATTTTAACGGCGTGAAAATAGACAATGTGCTAAAGTCACGTCTTTTCAAGGAGTAAAAATAAAATTTGGCTAAAGTCACGTAGTTTTGCGGCGTGAAAATAGCCATTCATCTAAAATCACGTTTTTTTAAGAAGTAAAAATAAAATTGGGCTAAAGTAACGTTATTTTAACGGCGTGAAAATAGACAATGTGCTAAAGTCACGTAGTTTCGAGGCGTGAATATAGACATTTGGCTAAAGTCACGTCTTTTAACGGCGTAAAAATAGAAAACAAATTATATTTATTAAAATAATAATAAAAAAATTTTTTCATTAAATATTTCAGGAAACTTTGGCTACAACATAAAGGAAGTCCAAGTTCATCAATCGAAAAAGCTGAATTTCGTAATGAAAAAGAAATAAGTGAATTAACAATGTCTGGTTTCTCCATTAAAAAATAATTCAATTTTTTTTGTTTGTTGAATTACTTTTTATTAAATATTTTCTCGAGAGAAAAAAATTTTTGTATTATAGACAATTTATTTTCTTAATAGAAATAATAATAATAATAGAATAATAATGTAATATTTATTTTTTGTAAAAATTAATTTGTTTTTACTAAGTTATTTATATTATTTATTTTTTAACAAATCGATACTTTTAGAGATTATTGATTGCAATTATAAATGTATATAGTTTTATTTATTTATTTTTAATAATTTTATACCTAATTGACCAAAAAAAAAAAAAAAAAAAATAAAGAGGAAAATAATACTTTTGTATGATTTAATTTTAAGATATTTCAGTTATATTTTATGAAAATTTTTATGTAACATTTTATGTGTAACATCGAAATTTGTTTATATTAAATAAAAAAATTTTTAAATATTATGAAAAATTTATGTGTTTTTATGAATTACCAAATGAATTTCTGAGGTATGATTTTATATTAGTTGTTAATTAAAAATCTATGTATTACTAGTTATAAATTTATGAGTTATTAGTTAAAAATTTATGAGTTACTAGTTGTAAAATTTATGAGTTACTAGTTGTAAATTTATAAGTTTTTTGTTTTTATTACTTTAGAAATTTATGAGTTATATGAGAAATGATTTTGAAAAAGAAATTTTCAAATTAAAGTGACACAAAAAGAAAGAAAAACGTGAGTTAATGCAAGAGTGCTTGAATTTTTTTACCACCTCTACTGTTTTATAAAACTCGTGTTTGTTCATAAAGCCTCAAGAGAGCCTCAGTACGATTCTCTCTCTTCGACTGTCAGCGGGTTTTCCTTAAATATATACCTTTCGCCTCTGCTTTTCAAATTCACACACGGGTTCAAATTTTTCTTTATTATTTTTAAAACAAAAAAAAAAAATTAGAAAAATTTCCACCATTCCAGTTTAAAAAAAAAACACACACACACACATTTCCTTACTAGGAAAGTATTATTAGAAAATTTCAATTTTTAATTTGAAAAAAATAAATTTGAAAATTATAAAAATTCAAGTAATTTGAATAAATAATTACTGTATCAATGGAAAAGTGACAAGAAAAAGAAAAAAGTGAGAATTGTGAAATAAAAATTAGTGAAATATAAAAAAGAGAAAATGAAAGAACTCTAAAAAATGTGGATTTAAGGAAATTCCAGGATGAAATGCTTCAAGATTTTTTTTAAGCACACATGGCATCCACAACAGGTGATTGTTTTTTTTGCCCAATTTCGAAATTTTCATCTAAAAGAAAAATATGAAAAAAACTATAAATAAACAAAATATTTTTAAATATTTAAAAAAAAATATTTAAAAATATTCTTAAATATTTAAAAAAAAATATTTAAAAATATTCTTAAATATTCTTTAATGAATGTTAAATGAAAATATTAAAAATCTAATGTTTATAGCAGAGAGTGGAGATTGATTCTCGTTATCCTTGACTCGAATTTCCTGGTTCGAATAATAATTTACAAATCAGAAAAAGATTTTTTCTTTTCCTTTCACTTGAATGCTTCGCGATTTGAGAATTTTTTCCGCAAATAAAGACGAGGGCAAAAAAAAAAAAAATTGAAAACAGAATAAATTTTTTTGATATTATTAAATTTAGTGTTTTCCTATAGGATTTTTTTTATTAAAAAAAATATTCTCTATTAAACTATTAAAAATACATTTTAAAAAAATAATCAGTGTCATTAAAATTACTTCACATTGATGGAATTCGAATTTTTTTTTCCCCATTGAAACTTGATATTGAAAAAATTTCTAGTGAATTTTAGAAAATAAACAAAATTCTCATGAATGGAAAAAATTTCTTTTTTCGAATTAAAAATTGCTATTAAATCAACGGCCAAAAACGTAAAATTAAGGGAAAAGAGGGAAAAATTAAATTTTTTAAGGGAAAAAATATTAATATTAAAACAATTTAATAAATTATAAATATATAATTAATTATTTATAATTTATATTAAATTAAATAGAGAAAAAAACAAGTTTGAAAACCAAGAAGGTCGCGTGTTTGCGTTCACATCCTGTTTTTAGTATTTTAGGTCTCGCAGCTGATGAAGATCACCGTTATCGCTCGACGAGTTGTTTTTTTTTTCTTTTCTTTTCTTTTTGATTCAGAATGCGGTTTAATAATAATCACTCTAAAAACGTTTTTAACTACATATATAGTAACTGAGTGATTCAATCTTGAGTCGCGGGAAACAATCCGTTAAATATATCTAATGTTGCGCTTAGAGGATGTGGCAAAGATAATTTTAAAATTTAGTGCACTTAAACTATTTAATGAAAAAAAATAGTTAAACATTATCAATGTAATACGTATTAGTATTTATATTAAATATTATTAACAATTTATATAAAAAAAAGTAAGAAAAAAAAGTGAAAAAAAAATTATTTATTATTTAATATTTATTATAACGGATAATTTTTTTGTAATTTCAATAAAGGTGTATTTTCCGAGTTTATTGATGATATTTTGATAAGATATATAATTAATATAATAATAGTTTAGATAATAATAATTAATCTACACTATGAGTTTTGTTATCGGATAACAACCTCATAAATTCTTGTTATACTGATTGATTTTTTTTTATCAAACAATTTTCTATAGTTAGTTAATAATTGCAATTAACATTCAATTATTGTATTATTATATATACCAATGGAAAAATATTATTATTTAATTAACAATTTTTAATTATAATTAAAAAAAAGCCCAAAAACTAAATAAAAGAAATACCTAAATAACTAAAAATCTAAAAAATATAATTAAAAAATAAATACGAGAAAAATAAATAAAAAATAAAATAAAAATTTTAATTTAAAAAAAAATAGAAAAAAATTCCTTTTAATAATTGATTTTCCGTGTATAATGAAAAATATTTATATATAAAGTGAACGTGTTATGAACTTTCAGCATCAGATTCGTGATCGCAAAGCCGACGATTCAAAAGACGACGACGACTACTCTCACTTTCATTTTATCAGCGATTCGTTTACATACTTCAGTTAAACTTTCTCTATAAATTTATCTAATGTTTATGTATATAAAACGAAAAATCTAGCGGAACACTTTTTCAATAATAATAATAATAATAACAATAATAATGAATCTATTTAATTATTGCGCAATAATAATATTTAAAAAAAAAAAAAATTTTTAATGTTGGGAATGGAAAATTTAAAAAAGAAATTTTTTTTCTTTAAACTCAATTGAATATAAAAAAATCAAATCACATTTTTGACTATCGACTTTTTAAAAAATGAGGTAAAAAAAAATTTCTCAAGAGATTTTTCCATGAGTATTGTGTACTTTTAGATAATACACTAATCTTAACTAGAAAAATGTGAAACAATGATAATTTAAAAAAAACAAAAAACAAATGGTTACAAGCAAATAAAAATTAACAGTAGTAAAATGTACGAAAATAATAAAAAAAAATTTAATTAATATTCATATATAATATTAATAGTAATAAATAATTATTATAAAAAAAAAATTGAAATGTAAAATGAAAAACAATTTTTTTTTGCCAACTGCAGAAAATTCGTGTGTAATATGAAAAAAAATATTAAACTATTATATTGTTAAATAATCTTCACTGTATTATGTAATGCAGGTTCTATTATTATTTTTTTTTTTTTATAGGTATGCAAGATACGCGTACCTATATATTTATATGTATACAGTACATATTGTGGAATTGTATATTTTGTCATTACGAAAGAATTGCTTTATCTCATTTAAAGTCGACAATAGAGTGAATTATCACTTTTAAGAAGACAGAGATGAATGTAAGAAAAAAAAAAAATTCTTTGAGGAAAAAAACACACAATTTGCTCTAAAAATTTAGAATTAAAAAAAAAAAATTATTTTTAAATATATATTTTTTTAAAATGCTTCAACATTAAGTAAATAATTAATTAATTATAAAATTATTATAACAAAATTATATATACCAATTAATAATAACAAATAATAATAATAATAATAATAATAATAATAATAATAATAATAATTAAAAAAAATAATAATAATAATAATTAATAATAATATAATATAATATATTATTAATAATAATTAATAATAATTAATAATTATTCTTAAATTTATTTACTTTTTAAATTATTTATTAATAAAAATTATAATAATAAATGATAATTATTATAATAAATATTAATTAATAATAATTGAAAATAGATGCAATAACAGTGCGGCTATGCTCAAATTTTTGTCCACAAGTATAGAAACCCGCCCAGACGAGGGATTCGATCATTTTATTGGTCATTCCTCAAGGTCATGAAATGGCAACCAATCATCGTGACATGACCTTGAAAATTAACCAATGAAATTCGTCTAAGCACTGCTAGGCGGTTCCCTATCAGAAATTGACTACTGGCGCAATACTGCTACCATTATGTTGGCAGTAGTGAAATATTATCAATTATTATTAATTATTGTTGTGTAAATAAATAAATTTTTTATTATTATTAATATTTTATTAATAATTATAATTATTTTTTTTTTTTTGTTAAATTTTAGTAAAAAATAAAAAGTATAAACAAAATTAAATGCATAAAATTGAAAAAAATATATTTGTTTAAATAAAAAAAAAAAAAATGAAATTTTTGAGGCGGGCGACTAAATTGTCTCGGTTTTTTTCTGATTAATTGACGCGCTCGGTATTAACTATTAAAGAACTTATGGGAGATAACAAGGATCAGGGGTCGAAACTGACTTGATAATGTCGCTCTGCCATCGTTAACCAGTCAGTCTTTATACTAACATTGTAACAGTACAAGCCATTATAATCTCTTTTTTTTTCTTCTTTTCCTTACTATATATTTTCAAAACACGGTAAGCGGTGCAGTTAGTGACACTTATATATATACATATATAATAATAAATAATGTTTTTTTCTCAATGAAATTAAAGAATAGTAGAAAAAATTAAATAATTTCAATTTAAGCATTATTAATAAGAAATAAAATAAATTATTATATAATAATTAATTAATACAATTATTATTTGTATTACTAAATTAATTATTACTATTAATTATTATTTATATTATTTAATTATCATTAATTATTATTGTTAAAATTATCATTAAATAATTATTATAATAGTTATATAATGAATAATATAATAATAATTTAATATAATTAATAATTAATTAATAATTAATTAATAATTTAATTTAATATAATAATAAAAATTTATTAATAAAGTGAAAAATAAATAATTTTTTGTAGCGGTAACGTTATTAATGTAATTAATTAATTTAGATATTAAAAAAAATTATTTAAATAAAAAAAATTAATATATTATTAAAAAAGAATTTTTTTAAAAACTAAAATTTCTTATACCACAAAATAATGTAATGATTAATTAATTTAAAAATTTAAAAAAAATTATATTTAAACAAAACTGAAATTAACGTGTTTATCATTAAAAAAATATTTTTTTTTAAATAAAAATTTGTTAAACATTTAAAAATAAAATTACGATAAAATAAAATGAATAATAATTAGAAGATAAGAAAGTTTTAAAGAGTTTCCGAGACAAGAAAAAATTTTTTTTTTCTTTAAATATTAAAAGAATTGTTAAATTGATTGTTTGTAAAAAAAAAAAAATTTAATGAAAAAAAAGAAAAATATTGTCAACTGTACATAATATGTACCTATATATATATATATATATTGAGTGTCGGTAGCTGTACCACTTATCTCATTTCCTAACCAGCTGGTTCAATATTCAAGCTTCATTGGTTCGAAACGTCTAATAATAATAATTGAAGCTTTCTTTTGCCGCAATATACGAAAAAAAAAAGAAACGAGAACATTAACTATTTTTATATGCGTAGCAATTGTTTTGAAATGAATTGTTGGTGAAAGTTTTCTTTCCAAGTCATATTTGGGTGGAGAATTAAAAAATAAAAAACAAACATAAGTGATAAACAATTTAACTGAACAACTAATGAAATGACAATAACAATAAATGTCGAATTATTTTAAACGCTCCTAAAGGAAAACATGAATAAAAAAAGTTTGGAACTTCCTTCCAATCATACGCACTGTAGAACTATAGATGTGAGTTAAGAAAAATTTATTTGATTAAATTTAATTTCAGAAAATCTAATAACAATCTTAATAATAATAATAATAATAATTTTACTAAATAGAATAAAATTTTTCTTTATTATTATTAATTTATTAAATATTTCAATTAAAGATTGAAATAACATAAAGAAAACGAAAAAAAACTTTAATTGGAACAGCGATATGTTTTTCAAGAACAACGAAAACTTTAGTTGCGTATTTTGTGCGAGATTTTGCAATAAAATTGTCTGTCTAACAAAAATTGAATTTTTTCTACACTTTTAGGTGTATTTTCTCTCACAGCACCAGAAATCCTAGGATATTCCAAAAACATCCCTTGGATATCCTAAGGATACTTTAAGGATATCCAAAGTAGCGGCGGTTAGGATATCCTAGTGATATCTAAGGATGTCCCTAGGACGTCCCAGGGATATCCTAATCATTTCCCCGGATATTATTAGGATATCCTGTGGATATCCCTGGGATAATTATGGATGTCCTTAGGACGTCCTAAGGATATCCACAGTATGTCTATATTATCTTAAGGGTTAGAATATCCTTGAGTCGTTCTAAAAATGTCCCTAAGGTATCCATTAAATGACCCTAACATACAAATTAATTAAATAAAAATGAAAAACATATTTTTTTGGATGTATTTATAATGTATTTCCAAGATATCTAAAATGTACTTTCCGTGCGTGTGTTAGAACAAAAATTTTTTATTCCGTCAGTCCCATAAAAAACGATATCACTAGGATATCCCAGGGATATCCCTAAAATATCCCCAGGATATCCCAAAAATATCCTACGTAACGGCGGTTTGGATGTTCTGAGGATATCCTCAGGATATCCTAGGATATCTTATGGACGTTTTCAGGATATCCTACATTAGTTTAGGATATCCTGAGGATATCCTCAGGATATCCTTTTGTTGTGAGGGTTGTGCAAGAAATTGCGATAAAATAGTCTGCCTAAGAAAAATAAATTTTTTTATCATAAAGGTTGACTAAAGGGTGGTAATAGGGGTCATCCTCTACTCGTATTCAGGTGTCAATTTTTTTCTACACTTTTAGGTGTATTTTGTGCAAGAAATTGCGATAAAATAGTCTGCCTAAGAAAAATTGAATTTTTTTGGGCATTTTTTTTATCATAGGGGTAGACTAAAGAGTGGTAATTCTATTATCATTATCGATGTGAACTTCCCCGACATCTATTTTAGTGAAACATTTAATAATTAATCTATAACTTCTAACTTAGAGTCAGTTATTGCATCTATACCCTATATTACTATTAATTAATTAATTAGTTAATTAGTTAATTAATTAACTTATTTAGCAATTAATCAATAGTAATTAATATATATAATTCAATAAAAATTAATTTTTAAAATTTATAGATTTAATATATAATTAATAATTTAAATAAATAAATAATAAATAAAACTTACTCAACAGGTGGATCATCCATTGAGATTCGATCAAGGAAAAATGGAAACAAATTCTCCAGGTGAAACGGAATTATCAGAAATGAAAACTGTGACAATGTCATCGATGAATGTCACAGCATCAAATCCAAATCATTCCAATGATCATCAATGTCGAAATGGAACCTGTAAAATGTCAACAATTAGACATAATCCACAACCTGAGAGTCCTTGGCATTATTTAAAAACTGTTTTTCTCATTAGCGTTATTATTGCTCTAATTATTTGGATAATTGTTTATACTTTATTGGTTCAATACAAAGTATTGTAATCATTTATTATTATTATTATTATTATTATTATTATTTTTAATTAGTTTTAACTTGACTTTTTTTACTACGATTTTTAACAACTATGCGTTAATTTTTAGTTTTATATTTCATTATTCTCTTTGTTATTTTTGTTAAGTTATAATTAGATTATCTAATTAAATAAAATTATTAATTAATAATTAATTATTAACGCTCTTTAACTAATTTTCATGAAATTGTAAAAAAAAAATATTATAAGTTATAATTATTTACGAATATTTATAAACAATATTTCTAAATTATTGATAAATATTTATAAATTTTCATAAATAATTCAAATAACGATTTATAATTTTTTTTTGTTAGTTAACTGTGTAACTAATTATTTAATTAATTATGTAATTAATCATATAATTATTTGATTAATTATGTAATTAATCATGTAATTATTTAATTAATTATGTAATTAATCATTAAATTATTTAAATAATTAAATAAAAATTATTTTGTTAAATCTATTCTGTAAATATTAAAAACTGAATATTTTTATAATTGTACAAAAAAAATTTTTTAACATGCTGTAAAAAATTGTAAATAGAAATTTTTAATATCGATTAGTTTATATAGTATTGTGAATAAGAAAAAAAATTTTATTACAAAAAATTTTGTTAATATATAATTTATTGTAAATATCCAATCGACGATTGTATTCATATGCAAAATTTTTTGTATACAAAAAAAAATTTGTTATTAATCGCAACAAAGTTGAATTAAAAAAAAAGTATATTGTTTGTTAAAATTGTTAAATAATTGTTAATATTAAATTTAATTATGAAAAATATTGCCAAAAAATCACCACAAAAATGGATTCGAAAAATGTATATATATATATATGTTGTTTAAAAATAACAATTTAAAAAAATTGAAAAAATTTTTTTTTATACATTTTGTCTGTTTTTATTAAAAAAATAAATAAATAAATAAATTTTCTTCAATTCTGCAAAATTTGATTTACGTTAATTAACCATTTTTTGACGTTACTAAGAAAATCCCAAAAAAAATTTTACAACTTTTTAGATATTTTTTTATAATAATTATTATTATTTATTGTAATTTAATTATATAATTATAATTATAATTATTATTATATTTTTCTATTACTATTACTATTACTATTCTATTACTATTACTATTCTATTACTATTACTATTATTATATTATTAATAATTATTTATTTATAACCCGTGTGGAAAAAGCCACGATCTTGCCCTCAAGAGTTCGGGGCCCCCGGCGGGGGCCCATGAGGGCTGATCCATATGGCGAATCCATGAGGGGCACCGTAGGGGCCCCGCATGGATCGCCCTCATGTTCGATTAGCAAAATTTTCTAAGTCCAAAAATCAAATATTTTTTTATCACCAAAAAATTAATGTTTATAATGATTCAGAACCACGAAAAACGCGTTTTTAATAAAAATATATTTACACTTTTTTGAAAATAACACTCACACTTATGGCAACATAGATGAGGGCCACCGTAGGGGCCCGCATGGATCGCCCTCATGTTCGATTAGCAAAATTTTCTAAGTCCAAAAATCAAATATTTTTTTATCACCAAAAAATTAATGTTTATAATGATTCACAACAATGAAAAACGCGTTTTTAATTAAAATATATTTTCACTTTTTTTGAAAATAACACTCACACTTATGGCGAATCCATGAGGGGCACCGTAGGGGCCCCGCATGGATCGCCCTCATGTTCGATTAGCAAAATTTTCTAAGTCCAAAAATCAAATATTTTTTTATCACCAAAAAATTAATGTTTATAATGATTCAGAACCACGAAAAACGCGTTTTTAATAAAAATATATTTACACTTTTTTGAAAATTCACCTGAGATGATTCATGATAATAATCATAAAGCATATAATTAATTATATTTTATAAATTGCATTTGATTGGAAAATATAATTTAATATCTTAACTTTAACTAAATAATGATGTTAAGCACTTTTCTTTGTTAGGTATTTTTCAAGTTTAAATAGCATCAAGAAGTTAGCATTCGTTTTGAAGTAGCGTGCGTAGCGTAGTTGGTAAAGCGTTAGGTTCATAGTCCGTAGGTCGTAGGTTCGATTCCCCCCATGCGTTAGATTTATTTATTTCTCAGGTTTGCGTTTAATCATTAATTCTATGTATGAATTAATTGAAAAATGAAAATATCCGTTAATAGTATGCATAAATTACATATTTTTTAATTTTTTAATTAATTAATTTATTATTACTTTTAATTATATCCGACAGTTAATTAATTAGAACGTTAATTAATAAATTGAATTTGAGTAAGAATTTAATTTAAAATTGAATAATTATTAAATAAATATGTTATTTATTCATAACTTAAGCTTATTTATTATTAATTAACTTTTATTATTAATATTATTGATTAAAAAACATTATGGCAAACTTGAGGGCAAGATGAGGGCAAACGTGAGGGCCCATAAGGGCGCCCGTAGGGGCACCCTCATGGATCGCCCATGCGGGCGCCCTCATCGATGAGCATGTCGTTTCCATGAGGGGCCCCTATGGATCATCCATATGCGGCCCTCATGGCATGAGGGCGATCCATAAGGGCCCCCGCTGGGGGCCCACATCACTTTTCCACACGGGAATATATAAATTTTTATAATATTTTATAATAAAAAAAAATTTTTTTCCAAAAATTCTAAATTTGAATTAAAAACTCAAAAACAATTGAAGTCAATAAAGTACCTAAGCGATTGTCATTTTTCTTTTTGTCAAAATTTTGTCGAAAAAGAGATAAAGAAAAAAAAATTAAAATAGGTTACCTAAACGATGTATATTTTGGAAAATTATTTAATTTTTAAGAAGCATTAAAATAAAGTTTTACAATTCATTTGCTTTTTAAGTATATTGAAGTTTTCTTCCCATATTTAGGTACATTCTGAGAAATGGTAATTATTTCTTTTTTTCCCCTTCAATTAGTAAAAAAAAAAATTTAACCAAAAAAGAAGTTCTAATTTTATTTTTTTTTAATTGAAAATTTATTAAATTAATATATAATTAATTAATTAATTAATAATTATTAGTAGATAATTATTTATTAATTAAATTTTTCTGCAAACTTAATTGGGAAATATTTACAATAAATATATATATATATTAATGTCACTGAACTTTGCGAGATGGTATATGGTAATATATCTGCAAGCTTATCAGTTTAACAGTGAGCGAATTCAAGGAATCACAACTTCAGCAAAAAGTGTAGAGAATTTTTTCAATTTTCAATCGAAGACGACGACGACAACGACAACGACAACGAAAACAACAAATCAAACGAAACAAAATTGTGTTTCCAGTGCACGGAAAACGTTAATCACGAGGGAACATTTCAACAACCAAAAAGCAAGATTACAGGACGTCAAGATAACAAAGGGAGTGAGTAATAATTTAAATCAATGCAACAAATTTTTTCAAACAAAAGTTTATCTTCAAACTTAATCTAAACGCGTTTAATAAAAAAAAAAAAAGAAAAAAAAATTTATCTGAATCGTCACGAATATCAAAGTTCAAACTTTTCGATTTTAAAATTTATAACTTTCTCATCACTTTTCACTAAAATTTAAATTATTCAACAATTTATTTATAATATAGTTATATAGTAATATAGCTATTACTAATTTTTACTAAATTTTACTAATTAGGCAATTATTGTAGTAACAATTAGTCAAAATTAGTAATTATTAGTAACAATTAGTAATTGTTACTAATAATATACCAATAACACTAATTATATACTAATTATACTACTAATTATACTACTAATTATTTAGAATTAGTAATTATTTTTAACAATTACTAATTGTTACTAATTTTGTAATGATAATAATAATAGTTAAAATTAGCAATTATTACTAACAATTAATAATTGTTATTAATTATAAAATTAATTATAGTAATAAATAATAAAAATTAGTGATTATAATAAACAATTAGTAATTGTTACTAATTTTGTAATAATAATATTAACAGTTAAAATTAGCAATTATTACTAACAATTAATAATTTTAAAATTTTTTAAAATTTTAAAATTAATTATAGTAATAAATAATAATAAAAATTAGTAATTATTATAAACAATTACAAACAATTATAAACAATTTATTAATATTTGTTACTAATTTTGTATTAATAATAAAAATAATTAGTTAAAATTTGTAATTGTTATAAACAATTTTTTAATTATCACCAATAAATTTAAAGAAAAAAAAAAAAAAAAATTTCAAACAAAATGTGTTGATAAATTTTTTTTTTGAAATTTTTTTAACAGCGGAAACCAAGAAAGTTGAGGGACAATCCAATAAGAAAGAAAAAGAAAGTATTGATTATAAAGATCCTAAGGGATTTGAAAAGAAAACTGCACCTGGAGCAACGGCTGAGTCGAAGACTCCAGAGACTAAAAAGCCTTCTGAATCAAACAACGACCTACAAAACGCTGAAGAAAAAGAAGTCTCAATGCGACTCTTCTCCGTAGGTGGAAAAATTATTTTTACTGAAGATTCAGATGAAGAGGTAATTTGTTTTTAAAAAAATTTCTAAATTTTCTATTAATAATAAATAAATAAATTATTAGTGAAAAAAAAAATTAAATATATATTCTATTAAATATTTACAGTCTGTAGTTCCCGAGGGATTGTCAAGAAGAAAGACCTATATATTAATAGGATGGGATCATCTTCGTTCAGTGATTTTAATTTTTCTTTTAATAATGTTTATTTTGTGGGCGTCAATTTATTTTCCATTAATGGCCAACGTCTAATCAAATCTAAAAAAATTCTTTCAATTATTTCACAAATCACATTATTTTTTTGTCACTATAATATAACATATATATATTAAAAATAAATACTCTGTGTTAGTATATAATTAAAAAAAAAATAAATAAAAATAAATCACATTGTACTAATTATAAGTTAACTAATTTTTTTTTTACTTAAATAAAGAATTTACAAAACAAAAATAATAAAATTTTAATGTCTCTATTTTTTTTTCATCTATATTTCTTTAAAGCTCATAAATATTTATAATATTTATAAAATTTTTAATATTTATGATATTTTTATTTAAAATATATTTATATTTTTTAATATTTATAAATATTTATCAAAAAAATGTTAATAATCACTGTGTTCCCACAAGTTTTTAGAATCGTAGGATTGCAACTCAGATTTTAGATATTCAAAATGGCGGATCAAATATGGCGGAATATCGTAGGTTCCGAGTTTGGCGGGAAATTTAAAAAAAAATTACTGACTTTTTATGAATTGGGTAAGATTTTCAAAAATTAAAATAGCGGAAAATTATTATTATTATTATTAATATTATTGCTGTTATTATTATTATTATTATTATTATTATTATTATTATTATTATTATTATTATTATTATTATTATTGTTGTTATTATTATTGTTATTATTATTACTACTATTATTATTACTATTATTATGAAATAAAATTATTAAAACATAATTTTGTTTTTTTAAATATAGAAAATTTCTTAACTAAGAAAGCATAAGATAAATTATAAATATCTTTAGAAAATAAACTTTGAAAAATTTCCTACTTGAAAAACAAACAAAAAAAAAAAATAACACAAAAACGGAAAAAAAATTGAATATATAATTATGAAACTGGGTTATCCCAACGAACTATAAAATGAAAACAGAGAACATTTTATCTGCATCGACACTTTTGACATCTCTGTTCCTCTTTCGTATCATGAATAGGTTGCAGCGCTACAGGAAGGTCTCATCTTAATTGTGACCTTCTCTTTAACTTCTCAAGAATCATACAACAAATCTGACATCATCGCGCGCATTGAAATTTAACAGTCTATAATGCATTGCCGTCAAAATCTAATTATTATTTTTACACACGTACATTGAACAAATTTTTTTATTTTTTCTAAATTTAAGAATTAATTTTGATTTTATAATAAACAAATAAATAATAAAATGATAAAATAATAATACTGATAATTTTTTTTTAAAATTATAATAGATTATTTATTCTCAATTTTAAAAGAATGTCTTCTTATTTTAAGAACATTGCATTCTAAAAAATTATTGGCTTCAAATAATCAGTTACTTGCCACGGAAAAATATCTTTATCTATAATAGCGATATATTTCTTCAGAATAGCGAAAACTTTCCTTGTTTCAGTGAAACATATCGCTGTTCTAGGGAAATTTTTTTTTTCAGTCTTAACTATAATAAGATACTTTTATTTACATATTTTTTATTTATATATAAAAAAAATTCACAGCCAAGATATAGTCCAAAACTAAAAACATATTTTTTTTTCACTAAATACTGGGCAACTTTTGAATCCCCATATATGTATATATATATATATATATATATATATATATACACAATAAAAGCATTCAAAAGAATCGTGTACCGACCTCTGTCATGGTCTTGGGATTATTTTATATTTTTCAAGCTTGACCAATCGTCAGCTACGTCTTAGGGAAAGTATTATTTGCTATACGATCTATAGCAGGAGAACTTAATACTAGCCACATCGATTTAGTCGATTCAGTCATCCTTAAGACGTTCTCGTGACGACTATATATTGACTTATATTTCATTTTTCTTTTGGTTTCTTTCAAAACAATTCCTTCGAAAAAAAACTTGAAAAATTTCAAGTTTTTAAACAAAAAAAAATTATTTTTTTTGGCGAGAGATGAAGTCTCTCTATTTTTTTGTTTTTTTGGTTGCCGCCTCATTTATTGTCGGTGAGTCCCCGAAATTTCTCAATAAATAGAAAACAAAAATAGTCACGTATGTTATTTACAAAAATAATATTTTAAGAAATTAAGAACTTTTTTTGTAGAATTTTTTATTATTATTATTATTATTATTTATTATCATATAAATTTATTTTCATTTAATTTTAATTCTCAAATTTTCTAAAAAAATAAAGTTAAATATATTAAATAAATAAATAATATTATAAGCAATTACCGAATGGGTAAAAAATGTTTTTTTGTATTGTTATTTTTATCGATAGAACGTTAAACGATTTTGTTCTATTTATTAAAATTTTTATTTTCTTTAACTTTGAAAGTAATAACGAGCCCTTGGAATTTTTTTTCATAATAAATATATAATATGCAAATAAGAATATTAAAAAAAATAACGTTAAGAATAAATGAATGAATTTGCATTGTCTTTCAAATCGTTTTTAAATATATATGTATATTTTAAAAAGAGGAAAATTATCCCCTATTTTGAAAAATTATGAAATATTAATTTTTTTTTTATGAATTTGTCATTGAATGTCAAAGTAGACACTATAAATATACCTGAAGGTCAAACCTCTCTTAAGTTAAGAGAAGAAGGAATTAGTTTAAAATTCCGTACGAAATAAAGGACATTTAATTTGTTTCATAATGATTCAACAACCAGTTTCTCTCTCTCTCTCTTTAGATAATTTATTATTTTGCAGAGATTCAAATCTTTATGAATAATATTAGAAAAATTGTAAAAATTTATTATTTTGTTTTGGAGAGTTCAAATTTTAACATAAAATGCAAAATATAATTTGTTTTATACTTCTATTTACCAAAAATAAAAAAAACTCAAAATTTAAAAAAAAATATAATTTACCCTAGTGCCGTTTTGAATTTTTAAAATCTGACTTCATATTCGTAATCAGCAACCCCAAAAACCCCTGAGTGACGAGTTTCAAGCGAATTAAATCAATTTTTAAAATTAATGTCCACCATATTGGATCCGCCATTTTGAATTTTGAAAATATGACTTCAGATTCGTAATCAGCGATATTGCAAACCCCTGAATAACAAATTTCAAGCGAATTAAATCATTTTTTCAAAATTTTGGCCGCCATATTAGATCCGCCATTTTGAATTTCAAAAATCTGACTACAGATTCGCAATCAGTGACACTAAAAACCCCTGAGTTTAACGAATTTCAAGCGAATTAAATCACTTTAAAACATTTTGTCCGCCATATTGGATCCGCCATTTTGAATTTTGAAAATATGACTTCAGATACGTAATCAGCGACCTTGCAAACCCCTGAATAACAAATTTCAAGTGAATTAAATCATTTTTTCAAAATTTTGGCCGCCATATTAGATCCGGCATTTTGAATTTCAAAAATCTGACTACAGATTCGCAATCAGCGACCCTAAAAACCCCTGAGTAACAAATTTCAAGCGAATTAAATCACTTTAAAACATTTTGTCCGCCATATTGGATCCGACATTTTGAATTTTTAAAATCTGATTACAGAATCGTAATCAGCGACTCAAAAAACCCCCTAGGCACCAAGTTCCATCAAAATCTACTTTTGTTTTGTAAAACTATCTAAAAAAAATTAATTTTCCCTTGACCTAGAATAATTTCCAAACTATTTCTACTTTAATATAACAATACTAATCAATCAAAAATATTTATCTTCCCCAAAAGATGTCGATGCCGGATGGAAATTTTGGAAAAAGGACAAAGATAAGGATAAAGATTCAACAACCGAAACTCCCCTAATAACAAGTTCCGCGTCACCAGTGACTCCAATATCAACGTCCAAGGTCTCATCAACTCCAGTAGCAAATCTAGGAGCGACAACAAAAGTTCCTGTAAATATAAATGCTGGTTTAGCTGGAGCCGCTAATCCAGGATTGTCAATTGGTGCCGGAAACACTGCAGGTAACATTCGCGACAATGCCAGACCCCAAAAACCAAATCCTGGAACTGAAGTTGGTCTGGATATTCCAAGACAGAAGCCCGCAAATTCTGGATACAGAGATTGGGCAATTGATTTGACTGGTGCCGGAGAAGGACGACAACCACCTCGAGTTCCAAGTACGGGACCCGCAATTTCATCAGGACAGCTTCCACCTGGTGGGTGAATTTTTTATTAATTAATTTCTTAATTAACTTCCAAGAATTAAAATCGTTTATGAAACTAATCGAATTAACGCAAACATTAGGAGTTCAAATACCAAGACCTGGTGTGCCAACTTCGAAACCTGAAATTACAACCTCAAGACCTACAACTCCGGTTGCTGTTCAAACTCCAAGACCAATTAATTCGGTGCAAACTCCAAGACCTGATCCACAAAGACTTCCTCCAGGTCCTGGATCATTGGGTTATCCTACCCAGACATCAAGACCGGGAATTCCAGCTTCAACAGGCGGATCCAAAGACTTTCCAAGTCTTCCACTAGCTACTGGTGGACAAGGAAATGCCGGTGGATTGTCAAGTGGAAACCAATCACCAACAGGTGGTAAAACATTTGCTCAAGTCGCTTCTTCAGGAAGTACCACGACTTCTAGACCGAATTTTGGAGTTCCAGTTTATGGAGGAGCAAAACCAGGTATTGAATTAAAACAACCGGCGATTAGAATAGCTAATTTGAAATTAGAATCAGATTAGAACGACTTTCACGAAAGTATTTTTAAGCCTTAATTTGGTGGATAAACAGTGACCGTAGAAAATTTATAACCTACGCGACTATGACAGGGAAGTTTCTCTGATAGGGGGAAATGATTCTCGAGGGGAGGGGGGTACTAAGGCCTTTCTTTACCGTCCGTGCCTACAATATACACAAAACCTTTAACGCTTCTTTGATTGTAATTATATTCTTTTGCAAATGAAAAAACAAATTAGAATTATTGTAAACTTACCGTTGTCAGGATCAGACTGCATCTGCTCTTCATCCCAGTGTAATCCAAAGCATACGAAAACAATCACTCACAATTTTATAAATTTCGAACCCGAACCACGTGTTAACAAATGCAATTCCTAGTTTATATTTGGCTAATGCAAAAAGCCCCCCAAAAAAATATTTTATAAAATTGAAAAAATCTTCTATTATATTAAGTTAACAAATTTCCAAAAGCGACACCGACACCGTCCTTGGAAAATTTATTTTCACTTATTTTCAAATAAATCAAAATACTTTGCCATATGCTTTTAGAAAATCTTACATACTTTTTTTTGTAGCATGTTTTTTCAATTTTAACCCAAAAAAGGGTTATTTTGCAATTTTATGCAATTTTTTTTGCGAATTTTTGGATATATACCTTTAAACTCTCTTTATAAAGGTTTACTCTGGATAATAAAAATAAATACCGATATTTTATAAGGTTTTTCGATTTATTATGAACATTTTTCTGAAAAATTTGCAAAATCTCCATCTCCATTTTCTCTCTTGTGGGGCAATTTACAGCAATATAATATAATATTATATAATATAAGATAAAAAAATATATTATAATATAATATAATTAATATTTTTGTTATAATTATAATAAATTAAAACATTTAATATTTAACAATTGTCATTTCATCCTTCAATGATAATGAGCAAAATTAAGATAAATTTTATACAATATTAATAATAATATATTAATTTAAAACATAAATTATATATATATATATATAATATACATAAACTACAATAAGTACAACTATAACCGAGCGAGCGAGGAATACATCGCTAGTACTAAATAAAAATAAGAAAACTATTAATAAAACATTTTGTTATAAAATTTTCAATACTAATTTCAGAACGTAACAAAATGACAAAATGGAAACTAAAATTCCAGTCAAAAATATAGTTCATATGAAGCAGAACGTTAATTTATTAATACGCAGTTGAGATATGTTAGAGATATAATAATCAGTTTGGGGGAAATTATCTACCCAAGTTTCCTTAGGTCGAAAAATCAGAGCAACATCGAAAAAAGTGGTTTAAGTTTAAAAGAATCAAAACAATAAGTTACAAATTTTCATTTTACTTTTAGGAAACATTCCACCAACTTCTCAACCAGGTAGAACTGGAATTGCAACCGGAGGAGCAGCAGCAGCTGGTGTTGCCGCTGCTGGTGCTGCTGCAGCAGCATCAAAATTCTCAAGTAATCCAACATTCAGTAAGGGAAATATTGTTACCGATGATGATTTAGAAAAATTAACGGAAGCACTTTTCATCAAGGACGCTAACAATGCCATGAAGTACATTACCCTGAATCTACAGAAGCAAACCACTGGAAACAGTCCTGTCGATGAAGCACCTCAACCGTAAGTGCTTCTAAAAATTATTCCACCTGATTCATAATAACACAGAAAATTAAAAGGCATTAAAATAAGCTGCAACGTTTATTTTAATGCCTTTTAATTTTCTGTGAAAAATCTCGAATCTTTAAATAAATTCATATTTGTAAATAAATTTCACAGTAAGTCTGTCTTCTGGCCGTTTTGGAACAAAACCTATATGTTTTAAGTACAAAAATAGAAACTATACGTGTCTTTAAGAAAAAAATTTAGAACCCAGCAACTAGGTTTTGAACAGTATACTAGATTGATTCTAATTTCTCAAAGATACATAATTTCTCTCTATACTTAATGTTTCTTCCAAAATGACAGAAATATTCGACTTGCGAGTGAACAAAGTGAAAATTAATTTTATAGAACTATTTTGAAATTCATTTGTCCAGACTCTTGAGTGTAAAACCAGAAGCCCTGCAAATACCAACAATTCAGAAAGTTCTCACAATTTATGATAATTATCAATTGGACACAAGGACCCATGAATATATAAATCCCGCACAACGTCGAGAGGAAAGTCTCTTGATAGACACATTTTTAAGTACAAATGTCATGTCATTTGCCATGCGATTTTTGTCAGATAAAGGTTTCATTGAAAAGGATTACTATAAATATAAGGATAAATTAAGAACAATGTGGTTCAATCTCTATTCACGAGGCAATGGAAAAACTGGTAGCACTGGTTTTGAGCATGTTTTTATGACTGAATTAAAACTTGGAACAGAAGTTTCTGGTCTTCACAATTGGATTTACTTTAATGCTGAGGAATTAAAGAAGAGGGCCGATTATCTTGGATACATGAAAAAAGTCGATCTTGGAGATGTAGGGATTTTCTTTTCTTTTTTTTCTAAATTAATCAATTTTTAAAATGAAAATTTCTATTTCAGAAGGCGGCAATTTTGAAAGTACACTCAAAATTCAACGGATTTGATAAACCAGTAACGACAATGTTTATTGGTACATCACCTGAATTGGAAATGTCTCTCTATACCGTTTGTTTCATTGTACGACCAGATCAACCGTGTCCTGTTTCCCTTGGTGGTACAAAATTCAACATTGTCACACACAATTTCCGTTATAGCGGAAAAGATCACGTGGGATCAGCATATCCTGATATTTAAAAGTTCTGTCATTTTTTTTTTTTTTACTGCTTTGAAAATTTTTCTATTTGTTAGAAAAAGGGATTTTTTTCGGAAAATTATAAATTAAATTAATTTCACAAATAATTTTATTTATTTATTCGAAAGTTGTTTTTTTTTTAGAGCTATTTATTGCTTTTTCAAGATCATGGAATCATTACTTTGTACATTTCTAAATGCTGTGAGAAATAAATAAAAATGAACTGTTGGAATAAAGTATTTTAACTTCCTCGAATAAAAATTAGGAATTACACAGAAAATTAAAAGGCCTTAAAATAAGCGATGCAGCTTATTTTAATACCTTATAATTTTCTGTATAATTTAAATTTTGTTACATTAAATTAAATTGATCAAATAAAAAATTACTATAGTGATAAATTAATATTACTTATTAATATTAATAAATACACTAATTAGTAATTAACTACTAAATACTAACCCTACTAACTACTAATTACTATTCCTTCAAAATTCGCATTCATTTTCGTTAAATTTTTTTCCCTATCAATTATTTAGAAAATTTTTTTTTATCCCGGAATTTAATGAAATAAAATCAACTAATTTTATTATACAATGCTCATAATCAATTGGAAGGTCAAATTGATTGAAAGTTTAGACGAATAAAAAGGACGATGAAGATGTTTCAAAACTCTCGCTCTCTCTCTTTCTCTACCATACATAACGCAATATGAAAATTAAAGATATCGTTCGGCCATATTTTATATAAGCAAACAGATAAGACTCGACGCGAGGCTCGTGTGTTGTGATATTAAAAAAAAAAAAAAAAAAGTACCGCGAGAGAATGAAGTGAGAGAACTCGGAAAGTTAGAGACGAGGGGGATCAAAAGTGTATAGCAGCCATGTACAAAAGTGTTCCTACAATTCAATGGAAAAACAACTGGAAAAACTTGAAAAGACTTTATAACAGTGGTACTGGAGTTTATGGTCATCGACCCAAAGAACGAAGTCATTTTCAAGGCAGGTTATTAATTATCCGTAAAAATTACTTGTTTCATTAATTAATTAAAATTTATTATTAATTTTTTTTTATCACCTCCTTAACTTAAAATAAATATAGAAAAAATTATGATTTAATCAACTTTTAAAAATTAATTAAACAATTTTCCCCCGCCTTTTTTTTGCTGTTTTATGATGATTAGAATTAAAATTTAGCATTTTTTATTCAGCAAAATTTTTTTCCTTAGTTTCAGAGAAGAAATTGGAAACGAGAGCGAGGAACAGTAATTTTTTTCGACTAGTGACAGCATTTCGTGAACACGCCCATAAAGAAGCGAATATAGATCCGGTTTCATTCACAAAACAAGAATCACTAACGGAATTAAATCCTAAAAATTATGGACTCAATTTATCGGATTGTGTATCATTTGAAAATTTGCTTATCACAGAAAAAGCAAATGGTAGCATCGCTGAGGCTGTCGAAATTTTGAAAAATATTTACTGCAAAAATATTGGCGTTGAATTTACTCATTTAGAGGTAAGAAAAAAATTTTTTATTTCTTCATTATTAATTAGATAATAATTAGCAGATAGTACATTTTTTTGTTTTCTAACAGAGCGAAGAAGAGCGAGAATGGTTTGCAGAAAACTACGAAAAATTCTATCAAGAAACCCTAAACGAGGAAACTCGTCGTGGAATTGCAAAGGAAATGCTAAAAAGTCAAGCTTTCGACAATTTTCTTGCAGTGAAATTTGTCACAGTAAAACGTTACGGAGGAGAAGGAGCCGAAAGTATGATGGCATTTTGTAGGGAACTTTTTCAACTCTCATCAACTGGTAAAGTTATTTCAAAAAAAAATCCAATTTAAAAAAAAAAATTAAAATCTCACCTTTTTAGAATTGGAACACTTGGTTTTGTGTATGCCACATCGGGGACGTTTAAATTTTCTCACGGGAATGTTAAATTTTCCACCGGAAAAATTATTTCGAAAATTACGTGGTATTCCAGAATTTCCCGACAATGCAAAAGCCACAGGCGATGTGATAAGTCATTTTATATCGTCAATGGATTTTAATACAACCGGTAAGAGTCTTCATGTTAGTATTTTACCAAATCCATCTCATCTTGAGGCAGTTAATCCCGTTTCAATGGGAAAAACACGTGCCATTATGCAGGCAATTAACGATGGTGATTATTCGGAAAATAAATCATCTCGATGGAGTGACAAAGTTCTAAATGTTCAGGTAATTTTAATATCTAGAAAGTAAATATTTTTTTATAATTTCAAAAATACCTTTGAAGATTAAAAAAAATGGAATTTTCAGATTCATGGAGACGCGGCTTACGTGGGACAAGGAGTAAATCAAGAATGCCTGGCACTAAGTGGATGTCCACATTTTGAAATTGGTGGCACTATTCATTTGGTGGTAAATAATCAAGTTGGATTCACTACTCCAGCGTCGCGTGGTAGATCCACTAGATATTGCACCGATCTGGCAAAATTTATAAACGCTCCTGTTATACATGTCAACGGTGATGATCCCGAGGTACAATTAGAATTAATATTATTAGAATAAATATTTTAAAAAAAATTATTCAATTCGTTTTTCACCTCTACCAAAAAAAAACAAAGATGGTAGTTCGTGCCACAAGAATTGCATTCGCCTATCAGAGAAAATTCCGCAAAGACGTATTTGTGGATTTAAATTGCTTTAGAAGATGGGGACACAATGAACTCGATGATCCAACATTCACGAATCCTTTGCTTTACAAAATTATTCAAAATCGTTCGTAAGTTTATTAGGGATTTTTATCCTAAGAATTTCCAAATTCTCTATCTATGAAAAATGTTTAAGATCTGTTCCAGATGCTTATTTGGAAAAATTATCATCGACAAATGTTCTAACTAAAGAAGAGGGAAAAATGATTGTCAATGATCATACTGCATGGTTGGCAAATGCTTTGAGACAAGCTGACGATTATAATCCACAGCCAACGTATTTTAGTGGTTGGTGGTCAAGAATAAAACAAGCTGATTCTGCAGTAACCACTTGGAATACCGGTGTGGATTCGAATATATTGAAATTTGTCGGCAATCAAAGTGTTCAATTTGAAAAAGATTTTGTAAGAATGAACAATAATTTACCCTTTCTTATGCTAAATTAGCCAGAATTTACTGAATCCCTGAATTTAAATTAACGATACGAGAGGTATTAATTTAATACCAAATTTAGGTATACTAAATTGCCTTTTGGTTCTATTTTAATACCTAAAATCGGTACTATTTTAGTACCTTCTTTTTACAGTGATATAACTCAATAATTGAAAAATTTTAGAACATACATCCACATATTCTGAAATCGCACGTGAATTCAAGATTGAAAAAAATTGAATCAGAAGGACAAATTGATTGGTCAACAGCTGAGGCAATGGCTTTTGGAAGTTTACTCTATCAGGGATACAATGTTAGATTGAGTGGTCAGGACGTTGGTCGAGGAACATTTTCCCATCGACACGCAATGCTTGTTGATCAAATTAGTGGAGGTAAAACAAAACAAAACAAAAATTCCATAGTAATAAACTACAAAGTTCAAAAATCATCTTATTTAGGGATTCACATTCCATTGAATTCAATGATAAAAGAACAAAAGGGAAAAATCGAATTGGCTAACAGTATTTTGTCAGAGGAGGCGGTATTGGGTTTTGAGTATGGAATTAGTATTACATCACCGTCGACATTGGCAATTTGGGAAGCGCAATTTGGTGATTTTTTCAATGGTGCACAAATAATTATCGATACATTTTTAACGAGTGGCGAAGCAAAATGGATGCTGAGCAGTGCACTAACAATGCTTTTACCACATGGTTACGAGGGAGCAGGACCAGAGCATAGTTCCTGTCGAATGGAGAGATTTCTTCAATTGACCGATAGCAAGGAAACAAAACCTGATGGGGAGGATGTTAATTTTCAAATTGCCATTCCCACAACACCGGCACAATACTTTCATCTACTTAGAAGACAAGTATGATTTTAGTAAAAAATTTTATTTTGCAAAATAATTAATTTTTCACATATTTAAGGTGGTGAGGGATTTTCGAAAACCGCTGATTGTCGTTACACCCAAGGTTTTACTTCGTCATTCGGCTGCAGTTTCGGATATTGTGGATATGACGCTGGGGACTTGTTTTAAAACTGTAATAGGTTCGTTTTTTAGGGACTTTTGGAAAATTTGCATACAGATCCACTAAAATCCGTTAAACCTTTTTTTTTGGAGCTCTTTATACCTCCGGAACTGTTGTAAGATTTTTGCCTTCGAGTGTAGCACTCCAATTCTGTTTTATGCGACTTTGTTCCATGCCGCAATTTTTTTTGAAAAATAAAAACGATTTTCAATGTCAAAGCAAAATTAACAGCACCCGAGAAAAAATCCGATGCTTAATCCATAGTTTCGGATTGTAAAAAATGGATCCTAAAACAAGAGTGACTTACCTTAGTTGTTCCATGATAAGATCCCGTAGATTATACCTTTTTTCCTTTTTCGTTCCGTCAGTATCTGTAAACAAACAATAAATGGAAAAAAAATTAATTTTTCCTGCCTCAAAAAAAGGTAATTTTTTTTAAATTTTTCCCTTTACAGGAGACGAGAAAGTACAGAAAGAAAATGTCCAGCGAATTTTGCTTGTCAGTGGAAAACATTATTACAATTTGATTCAACAGAGGGAAATTTTGGGAGCGACAAACATAGCAATCATTCGAATTGAGAGCCTTTGTCCATTTCCGGTTATGGAACTATTGGAAGAAATTGAAAAATACAAACATGCGAGCAGTAAGTTCTTGTTGGTTCTTTAAAACGTTTATTTTATTTCATTTTTTTTCAGCTTTTGTCTGGAGTCAAGAGGAGCCGAGAAATATGGGAGCTTGGTCATTCGTTAAACCACGATTTGAAAATCTCTGCGGTAGAAGGGTAAGGGAATTTCTAAAAAATAAAAATAAAATTTGCAAGTGATGCTTTTTTTTCAGTTGCAGTTCTCGGGTAGGGAATCCTTACCAGCACCGGCAGTCGGCGTTGGTCGTGTACATCAACAAGAAGCCGAGGAAGTGATAAAAAAACCTTTCGCTATAAAGTAGAATTTTTTTTTTTTAATAATTTATTTTTTTCCCAACTATATGTTAAATATTAACCTTAATCTATATACATAATTTGAAGAAAGAGAAAGGAATTATAATTTATTACTAATTTCCTCTTTGCCAAGGCGTTCATGTTCCTTTTCCATAAGAGACTTCAATTCCTCCTGTGAAAAATCAAAATTTTTATTTTCCCAAACGCATTGATTATTTTTTAAAAGAGCATCTAATAAAATTAATAACTTACACCCCAGCCTAATTTATCGGCAAATTCCTGACAACCTTTATCACAATCGCCCAACCAAGCGATGTCACGACGAGATTTTGAATCAAAATCAAGACCTTGTCGTAAACCCAATAGTCTTGTTAGTCTATCGGCCATTCCCACTTTTTCCTTATTTATCAAAAGTCTTGGACATTTTGACTTTACTCTAAAATGAAAAAAAAATAGTTCATATTATTTGCCTCCTTTTTTTTTATTGTTATCTACATTTTTTTGTCTATTTAACTAACCTGTCAACGAGAGAAGCAAACGGTTGTACAACGAGGCTTGATCCCATAATAATTAGTAAATCAGCTTCTGGAAAATCTTTACTAATTAAATGATGAAATCTCTCTGGTAACATTTCACCAAAGAAAACAATGTCTGGCTTTACAACACCTTCCTCACATTCCTCACATTTTGGAATTGTTCCAGTTTGTATTTTTTCTGTAATTTAAAGTATTTCAGTTTTTTGCTTTTATTTTTAAATTTTGAATAAAAAAAAAATTGAGGGAAACTTGCCTTTCATCCAGACAAATTCATGTGGTGCTCTACACTGCAAACAACGTCCCGTGTGAAATGTCCCATGTGCTTCAACTAATTTTTCACTAGGTACACCAGCAACTCTCTCCAGTGTATCAATATTTTGCGTATAATGACGCAACAATAATCCCTTTTCCCACAATAATCGAATAAAATAATGGCTTAATGTTGGTTTAAAACCTTCGGGCATTAATTCCTTAGCGAGAACAAAAAATGGTTCGGGATTTTTTTTGAAAAAATCAATTTCAAATATTGCCTGCGGATGGGGTAAATTGTATTTTTCTAAATTATGATAAAGACCACTCGATGGTGAGCGAAAATCTGGAATTCCTGCGGCTAAAATCAAAAAAAAAAATTTTGAAATCTGATTTTAATTTTATTCTGCTTATTTATTTTTTTTTTTGGCTATAAAGTCGATACTAAAAAAATTTTGAATTTTTTTGAATTATTTACCGGTTGATATACCAGCGCCAGCCATGACGATGATATTTTTGCATTTTCCATTTTTGATGTATTCGACAATTCCGTCTAAACTTAAATCGGACAATAATTTTTCCTCTTCTGCTTCTTCGTCTTCTTTTTCTTTATCATCGCCAGAGAGATTTAATGTTTGAAGAAAAAGTTTACGAACCTTGTCCATTTCTAATTGTTGAACTTCTTCAATTGGAAGTTTCGATTCGTCTGCATTACTTTCTGGATATATATGGAAAAGAAAATCACAATTATTAATAAAATTCATTTTTTTTTTTTTTTTTTTTTTTTTTACAAACATAAAATAATTTCAACACAAAATTTTCAAAGCAAAAATTAATTTAACGATCCCTTTCGATTATTTTGACAAAATTTGTAAGTAATAATAAAAGTAATTAAATTATTTAATTAAATAATTATTTAATTATTATTATATTATTATAATTACAATATTATTATAATAATTAATTAATTAATGATTAAATAAATAAATTTAAAAAATTTTTAAATTGAAATAAATAATTATTAACATTATTTTTTACGTAATTAAAATAATAAACTATTTTTTTAAAATGAAAATTAAATTTTCCCCTTTTTTTTAAATTTTCACCAATTTTTTTCATAGCTTCCACTTATTTTTCACAAAAATTAATAATTAAATTTGCAAATTTTAACGGAACAACAATTGTAAATTTATACATTTTAAAAAATCGATACACACACCAAAAAAATCGAAAATTTGCAAAAAAAAATATCTTTTAACAAAATTAATAATTAAATTGCAATTTTCAATTTTTTCCAAAAAATAATTGTCAAATTTGCAAAAAAAATCCAATAAAACACACAAAAATTGAAAATTTGCAAAAAAAATCCAATAAAACACACAAAAATTGAAAATTTGCACAAAAAAAAATTGTTGTTACCTTAATTCCAAGAAAACTGGTTTTTTTTGTTAGCGTTAAAAAAAATATCAAAAATGACAATTTTTGAGGTTAAATTTTAGTTTTTACTAGAAAAATCGATTGAATAGAAAAAATTTTTATACACTACAAGAGATACGGGAATAAAATGACGTTTTGTAGGCGTAGTAAATTAATTGAATTAAGTAAATAAGAGACAATTGGAATTAAACATCGAGAAGACTGAGAATATAAACACAATAATGATGAAGTAAAATTTTATCTTTATGACTTACCTCTTTCCTCCTCTTCTTTTGACTTGTCCATAAGTAATTGTATAATTCTTGCGTGTCGTTTATGATTTTTTTTTTTTTTTATAGTTAATTATAAAACAATTTCATCAGCAAAATTGTAAATTGCTATCATAAAAAAAAATAAATATTTCAATGTGTGTGACACCTTAAACTACAGATAATTACAGACCATTATCGTACGAGGGGAAAAAAAACTGAATTTCTTGAAAAGCTTCCAGTTTCTTCCGCTGGCAGCACTGGCGAGAGCGGGAAAATATTTAAAATTTAAATACTACAAATCGAATTTTCGATATATATTTCCTGTAATATTTAAACTGAAAAATGTAAAGCATTAATTAACAGAATATTAATAAAAGCAATTAATTCAAATAATGGAAATTAATGAAAACAATTATTATTTTTGGTAATTAAAAATAAAATAATTACAATTTTTGTTAATTAAAATAAAATAATTGCACTTTTTGTTAAGTAATAATAAAATAATTATAATTTTTGTTAATTAATAATAAAATAATTATAATTTTTGTTAATTAATAATAAAATAATTACAATTTTTGGTAATTAATATAAAATAATTGCAGTTTTTGTTAAGTATTAATAAAATAATTATAATTTTTGTTAATTAATAATAAAATAAATTGAGCTGCCGGATCAAAGAAGTCACATAACTAAATATCATTTAAATGTGTTATGTGCCCTTCTTTCATCCGGCAGCTCAATTATTTATTTATTTTTAAAATTTTTAATTTAATTTAATTTTTATTAAAAATATAAAATAAATTCGAAATATTTGTATACCTTTCTTTTATTTTAAAATATGATACAAAAAATTCCCGCAAATTTATATCGATTGAGGCAAATATTTTTTTCTTCTTTAAAAAAAACCTCCCTTTCACAAATTTTTCTTTACTTTGTATACAATAAAAATTAATATTCAATATTTCTTTAGTGTAATTTCAATAATAAATTTGATTTTGAATAAAAAATATATATATATATATATTAAATAAAAAAATAAAAAAAAATATTTCTAATCATATTTATGGAAGTATCAAATAAATATTTTTAAATTAAATAAGTTTAAAAAAATATATATTCAAGGACGAACGGGCATTTTTTAACTTGTAATATTCTCTTCAATTCAAAACAACATCCATTCAGGTTTAAGATTTTTTTCGAATTGACAAATTAAAAATTGAATTACTTGATCTTTTTTTGACTCGACTTTTATTATCCTTGGTTGTTGTCCTGTTCTTTTTTTAATTAATAAGTTTAATATTAGTTTAAAACCAATTTTTGAAATAAATAAATATTAAATTAACCTTTTTGACAAATTTTAACGCGACAATGGCTTTAGTTGATAGTCGTGAATTCGGTGGATGTTGAATTGTTTTATAAAATGTGGAAATTTTATTATTATTATTAACTTTCATCGATTCTGATATTAATTCATCTCTTTTTGAAAGTTTTGTACTGCTTCTTAATATCATTCTTGTGGGCAACACTTCCTGTCTTGCCGCTAATCTACAAATTAATTTTTAATTAAAAAATAAATTTAAAAAAAAAAAAATTTTCTAACTTGAAAAAATTTTTTATTAAGGCCATACGTTTTTAGAAAAAAAGCAGCGCCACCTACTTTACAGTTTTTAAAAAATTTCATTTCTAATTTCTTTAAACAATTTTTTTTTTAAAAAATCTTTTATACCTTTGCGAACGTCTTTGAGCAACGGAATCTACTCGATTTATGGTTTCCAAACGGGGAATGGGATTTTGTTTTTTAATTATTCGATTTCCCTGGGTAGGCTTAAAATTTTTTTTTATAAATAAGTTTTCTTTAAATTTCTTGAAGCATTCATTTTTTTAAAAATTTAAATGAAACTTTTTTTTTCGAAAATTTACTATTTCAATTTTTATTATTCAAATTAAATTGCTTAGAATATATATATATATATATTTATTTATTTGTGCATAATTTAAGAATAAAAAAAAAAAAATTATCTTACCGTAACTAAAGACTTTCTTTGTCCTCTTGAGAATAATTCCTTTTGATGTTCCTCAAAGTTTCTCTCCTTTTTAACAAATCCGGAAACGATTTTCGGTGAATTGACCGGAAGTGGGAGAAATTCCTGCCTCGTATTTTGAGCCGGAAAAAGGTGTTTTATCGACTCATTGTTGTTCACTTGTCTGACAAAATAGAATTACTCTAAATTTATTTAAATATCTCCATTTTTTTTAACATAAAAATATTTAATTAAAAAAAAATTTTTCTTTCAAAAAAAAAAATAATAATTTAAAAAAATAGAACAAATAATTATAATAATAATAGTAATAACCATAACAGTAATAATAATAATAATAATAATAATAGTAATAATAATAATAGTAATTATAATAATAGTAATAATAATAAAATAAATTAAAAAATTTGTTTTAGAAAATATAAATATTTAAAATTCACTTGTTTATGGATTTAATTTGACAAATTTTATTCACTGCTCTTGAATTAGATAATGTTTGAGGTTTGGGAAAAATTTTCACTGAATTCTTTTGTATACATTCGTGAATTCTGAAATTTTTTTTTAAATAAAAAAATTGATGACAATTATTTTTAAAAATATTTACAAATAAAATTTTTTTAAAACTTTAAAAAAAAAATTCAAACCTAATATTATACATTCCACCGATGTTACCATATCTTTTTTGAATAATACTCGAATGAACGGAAGATTTATCTAAATGTACAGCATCTGCTACTTCATTTAAAATCTAATTTAAAAATTAACTAAATGAATTATTATAAACTAAAATTCTAAATTATAATTAATTTTAAATAAGTGAAAAAAATGTTGAAGTTAAAATAAAATAAATAATAATTAGAATAAAAAATAGTAATAGAATAAAATAAAAAAAAAATAATAAAATTTTGAATATAAAATTGAAAAAACTTTTTTTTTTTTAATATAAACCTGAGAATATTCATTGGGAGTGAGATTATGCTCCGACATGACCTTACTCCAACAAGTTTTTTGACAGTCGTTGATCCAGGGATGAAAGCCGAGTTCCTGAATGGTGATTCTTTTGTGTGCAATTGGCGTCAGCAGACGATTCAGTGCGTCCTTATATTCGCTTGATATGTCAGAAAGATTTTTCTCGTGAAATGCAGTCAGCCCACGATTAATTTGAATCATGAACTTTCGACGACGCTCCTCCGAGGGTGTATGACCGTCCTGAGGACTCACGAAAGGCAATCGACCCGTAACCATCACGTAAAAAACAACTCCCCTGTTCTCATTCAAAAACAAGAGCAAAAAAAAAACAAATTTTTTTTGTTCAATATTTATTTTAATCAAAAAAATCAATTTCGATTTTTTAAATTTTATTTTAATTAATATAAAATTAATTTTTTATTACTTATTTAATTATTTAAAAAATCTATTAAATTATTTAATAGGAAATAATTATTCAATAAAAAAAATAATTTAATAAAAAATAATACAAAAAACAAAAATAATTTTTGCAAAAATTTAAAATATAAAACTAAATTAAAAATAGTATTTATACAATTTAACGTAGTTACTTACAAACTCCAAAGGTCCACTTCCGGTCCATATTTTTTGCCGTCAATAAAAAGTTCCGGTGCAGCATATTCTGGTGAGCCGCAATGAGTTTTTAACAACTCATTGTTATTGCATATATTACTCAAGCCAAAATCTTGAAAAATAATAATCAAAAATATTTTTTGTTGAGAAAAAAAAATTATTTTCAAAAGAAAAAAAAAAAAAAATTTTTGTAAATTTTGCAAAATATTACACGGAAAAAAATTTTCACCATAAAACAGAGATAAGTTTCACTGGAACAGCGAGATATATTTCATTAAAACAAGGAAAATTTTCGTTATTGTAGAGAAACATATCGCTGTTCTATGTATAAAGATTTTTTTTCCTATATAATAAAATCATTAGGAGGGTAATTAAATAAAAAAAATTTCCTACCTCTCAATTTGTTAATCTACAATGAAAATAATAAATTTTTTTTTTTAAATAACGACAATAAATAAAAATGCTCAAATCATAATGCAGCCTGAAGGTAGGCAATCATATTTACATCTGTGATAGTCGTGTTGCTAGTAATTGAGAATCAAAATTTTTTTCTATCTAATGTAAATTATAACTAAATGATTGTTAAATATTAAGATTAATTATCAAAAAAAAAGAATTATAATGCAATTTTAAAAAAAGAATCACTTTTTTTTAATGAATATAATTTTGATACGTAAAAATGTAAAAACAAACCAACGATTTTAATTCTTAAATGTTGTGAATCTTGCAACATAATATTTTCCATTTTCAAATCTCTGAAAAAATAAAAAAATTTACTTTAATCTTAGAAATAATACTTTATTAATAGTGTTTATTAATTTTATTTTTAATAAAATTGTAAAAGCTCATTTTCTTTTAGAAGGAAAAAAAGTCTGTTTTTATATCCCTAGTGTTAAAAATGCCTTATTTTTTCCCTAGTGTTATAAAATGGTTATTTTATGAAAATCGGTTTTCTTTCCCTAGTGTAAAAAATGCCTTATTTTTTCCCTAGGGTTATAAAATGGTTATTTTATGAAACTCGGTTTTCTTCCCCTAGTGGTAAAAATGTCCAATTTTCTCCCTAGAGTTATAAGAATGTTATTTATCCTCTATTTGGGTTTGAAAATAATTTTGAACGATATATATATAATGAAAAAATTCGATTTTACCACCTGGAGTAACAATAATAATAATAATAATAATAAAATAATAATAATAATAATAATTTTCTCAAGATAAAAAATTTATTCATTCAAATTTTCATTACATCAATAAAATTAAATCAAAAACGTTTTATTAACATATTTATATATAAATATGACGTAGTCAATCATACAAAGTGAATTTCTCGCTACAACCACATATTTCGACAAGGTCCCGTTTTCGGGGACCTCTCGTAATAATCCTAAAAAAATCATTTAAAAATTTTTATCGTTCCTTGTGGTTTTTGTGGGGAGAAAATAAATTTCGAGAGTCAGTTGACAGCGTTTGTTAGTTCCGCGGGGATTTTCGTATTATTATTATTATTATTATATGTACAATACAGTTCAGTATATGTGTTGCTCTGAGTGTAATAAAATTCTTTTAACTCTTATGGCGGCGAGAGATTTGCACTTTGAAAAGTACTATAGAGTATAAAGTTAAAGGAACAAGAGATGAGTAGGGAGGGGGGGGGGGACAAAAAAAAGAAGAAATTTTGCAAAAAGAAAACCAAAAAAAAAAAAAATATATCATGTCGAGAAATTTACAACAATCGTAAAGCGCAGTCGTTTTGTGATTCATTGTGATTGCCTAACGGAACCATCGTGAAAATTTACTCTCAACGAAGTTCTCTCTTTTAAAAGTCGAAAAAAACAACTGATGACTATATCATATTGATCTCATTTGGACAAAAAAAAATAATTTACAGAAAAAAGTAATGTAAAAATTAATAAAAAAATTTTTAGCTTATTTACAAATAGAAAATTAAAAAAATTATCTTCGTTATCTTATTATCTTATTCATATCTTCGTTTAGGGGAGGGGGGGGGGATAATTTCTAGATAATTAAATTTTTTCTTTTTCTTAGGGTTTTGAATTTTCGCGCCATTATATTAATTTTATTTCTCAAGTTTGGTACCCCTGGTTCTAGGGGCTTAAACTAGTAATAGCAGGGGTACCAAACTTGAGGAATAAAATTAAAATAATTGCGCGAAAATTCAAAATTGAATTATTCAAAAAAAGAAAGGAAAATTTAATAATTTATTTAAATCTAAAGAAATTTTTCTAACTATTAACAAGAAAAATCAACTTTAAGAAAAATTCTATCAGAAAAAATCAAAAAACAAAAAAATAATTATAAATATTGTTTCTTTTTTTTATATAAGAATGATAGAAAAAAAATTTGGAAATTTCCATCCTTAAGGGGGTTGAAGAGATCTCGAATAACAAAAAAAAAAGAAGAAAAAAGGGCATTTTTACATTTGAGATGTCAGTAAATCTTAGAATTTCGTTACATGATACAATTTTTGGTCCCCTGCTGTCTGATACAGTCTGCGAGAAAAATGCTATACAAGATATAGAAAAGGATCAAGACGGGATTTCTTATTACTTTTCTTATAGGGATTTTTTTTCAAATATTAATTCTGTTGCATGTCGCGAGCCCAACCTCAAAAAAGAAGAAGAAAAAAAAATGAAAAAAAAACTTCTATCTGCAACTGGCAAGTAAAATCCAGTTGGCCAATGGCCACAGGACTTGATGTATGTGTCGCGATTTTCATCCCGGAAAAATATCCGGTCCTTGTTTGTAATATTAATGCGATTATTATGCAACTCGAACTCTTAATGCATCTCCACATCCCTCAACAGTGCTTCCCATAAGTCACGCTGCGGGTGGAGATTCGCCTCAGCCAAAGACTCTATATACTATTTCTAAATTTTTTTTTAAAATCCCCTTTTTATTTCTTTAAACTTTTTTTTAAAACAATTTTTATTAATTTACAATTATTTTTTTAAATAATTTATTAATATGTGAATGAAAAATTTTAAAAGTAAATTCCAGATAATAAAATTCTGTCAAAATAAAAATTCTAACAAATCAATTTTACCGCGCTTATTCATTTGATTCAACATTTTAGTGCGATTTAAAGAAAATAAATTTTTTTTTTTTAAAAATGTCGAAATAAACTTTCTTATCGTTCTCATATTATTATTTGAGACAAAGGACATTTTAAAAGTAAAATTACTATGATCAGCTTTATCCAAGCGAATTACACGATTCACAATAATCTTAAAATTTATATATATATATATAAATAAAATGGAAAACCGGACAAAACAGATACATAGCCAATGCTGAAAAGCATAGAAGAGGTTTAAACCCTTTATTTCCTCTCTCGCGCAAAGAGTTACGAATGAGGAGTCAAAGCCTGTAAAATTTGATGAAAAATCTCGACTTTATGACCGAGAAAGGTACAGTGAGAAGGGAAGCTGTGAGGCAGTATAATCCCATATCCGTCCAACTCTCGGGATAGCAAAATACCTAGACCAATATCTTTCATCTTTTGCCGACGCGAACTCTTTTTTTTTCTTTTCTCTTTTTTTTCTTCCCAAAGCACTTTCAACGTTCGAAGCGCGTCAATCATCATCATCATTTTCCCACTGAGAGTATACATACATATATATATATATATGTACAGCAGGATTCACTCGAATTTTAAATTTCCTTCATAAATTATATTATTCGATTTGTTTTTACTTATATTATTTATCGAAAAAGAAATTTCAAATTTTTTTTTAACTTTTATACATATTTTATTAAACAATTTTCGTTTTAATATTTAATTTTGTTGTTAAAAAAAAAATTTATCAATTTAAAAGAAACTCGGCTACTTTCACGCCGCTAATTCAAAAACGATTAAAATAGTCGATTTTGGCTATATTCACGCCGCTAATTCTAAGACGTAAATATTGTCGATTTTTGCTATAATCACGCCGCTAATTCTAAGACATGAATATTGTCGATTTTTGCTATATTCACGCCGCTGATTTAAAGACGTGAATATAGTCGATTTTGGCTACTTTCACGTTGCTGAGTCAAGGACGTGAAGGTAGTTAAAAATCGACTACCTTCACGCCGCTGAGTCAGGGACGTGAACATAGACAAACTCGACTATTTTTACCCAACAGATTCAGCCAAAATCGACTATTATCACGTCACTGAGTTAGAGACGTAACCGTAGTTAAAAATCGACTATTTTCACGCCGCTGAGTCAGAGACGTGACCGTAGACAAACGCAACTATTAATACGCCACAGAGTCAAAGACGTGAACGTAGTTAAAAAAATAGGCTATATTCACGCCGCTGAGTCAAAGACGTGAAGGTAGTTAAAAATCGACTATATTCACGCCGTTGAGTCAGGGACGTGAACGTAGGCAAACTCAACTATTTTTACCTAACAGATTCAGAAACGTGAAGGTAGTTAAAAATTGGCTATATTCACGCCACTGATTCAAAGACGTGAACTTAGCAAAAATCGACTATTATCACGTCACTGAGTTAGGGACGTGACCGTAGTTAAAAATCGTCTATATTCACGCTGCTGAGACAGAAACGTAAATATATCCACAAATCGGTTACATTCACGCCGTTAAGTCAGGAACGTGAACTTAGCCAAAATCGACTATGTTCACGTCTTTGCGAGTCAGGGACGTGAACTTAGCCAAAATTGACTACGTTCACGTCGTTGTGAGTCAGGAACGTGAACGTAGTAAAAAATAGTCTGTTTTAGTTAGTCGAAAACGGGAAAATAGTAAAATAAAAATCGTCTAATATCACAAAACGGCTATAATCACGCCCCTGAGTTAGAAACGTGAACGTAGATAAAAAATTAGCCTAATTCATGTTTTAATTTCGATTTTATATAATTAAAGAAAGAACGGTTAATCAAGCTAATAAAAATGTATCATTTAATTTAACATAAATTTTTTTTTACATTAGGTCCCTTTTCTTGCTCAGCGTTACGTAAAATATGTAAAATAAACTGCGTAAATTGTGAGTATTATATATATATATATATATTGAAATTGATTTGGGGATATAATTCTCTTTTTTTTCTCCCCATATATGACACACTAACCTAATTTCAAAAACCCCCCATGACATGGAGTTTTAATAGATTCAACTCACCGATGGACAATCCCCCTACAATGCATATGTTCAAGTGCATCAACCAGTTGCCTTGCGTACAATTTCGCAGTGAATTCGTCCAAGCGTCCCAGGGGTTGTTTTTTGATATGGGTACAAAGGTCACCACCAGTTGCAAGTTCTGTCACGATATAGTATACGGTGCCACACTATATGAAATATTCAAATAAAAAATTATTCATTATTTCTAATTTAAAAAAAAAAATCAGAAAAAAAATTTAAAAAATTTTTTTTTTTAAATGTATAGAAAATTAAAAAAAAAATAAATATATTACATAAAAAATATTAGAATAATGTAAAAGAAAAAAAAAGAAGCGGTCTGACAGACCGGTAATAGCAATAACGTGCCATTCTTTAGCATCTCACAATTTTAGAAGTTAAAAATACATAAATTTTACTATAAACATTAACTATATATATATATTGACATATTGCAAAAAGTAGGTACACAAATAAGTTAAGGAATTTGTGGATTTCAGAACCGATTTCTACCGCACGAGTTATTCGTATTAATTTGCCCCGCGGAAAAAGATGAAGAGAACAAAAGTGATTCCATATATATATATATATATATCCCTTCCTCTTTTATCTTTTGACGGGAACAAAATGAAAGGTTATTTGGTGAAAATAGACGCCCTGCATCAGTGAATTCAATTAATTTCGGAAAACTGACCCTTATTGGCGAATATCGAATTACATTTCTCGTTTGTATGCCGCAATAGCGTTCCGATCCATGCGGGATTTCATGCCTCAGGATTTCCCTGAGAAAGGGGATATATACATATATATATATATATACTCTAACAGCGTAACCCAACAAATAATACTAAGGTTCCAACCCCCCCAATGTAATTATTCGCATTCCACTGCCCATATTGATCAACGTCTCAACATACATATACGAATAATAATAATAATAATCATAATAATAAGAATGAATCGGAAATCAATTTAGTTCAAATTTTTTTCCTTCCTCTGTTATAATAAGCGCACTTAATATTATGTGACGCTCCGAGAGAGAAGGAACCTTAAAAAAAAATTTTAGGTTATGGTAGTTTTACCTTGATAGAAAGTTTCTCTTTTAATTATAGGTAAAATTAAAATTAGTTTTTATTGAATTTTATCTGAATGTAATAGAGACATAAATTATTTCTACTAACAATAAGAATTGATGCTCTGTGAGTATTTAAAGTACAAAAATCACAAACATAACCTAAAAAATTTTTTTGACGTACGGTCCCTTTTCTCGTAGAGCGTCAAATATATATATATATATATATATATATATATATATATATATATATTTGCCTTTTTTGCTTTTATTTTCTATTAAGTCGAAAGTAAAAAATTTCAACAAAATTTAATTTAAAAAGGATAGAGGTCCTAACATAACCTCAAAACTGAAAAATGGTTTTTAATGGAAAGAAAAATTTAATAATAAGTAAAGTAAAAATTAGGAAATAATAAATAATAAGTAAAAAGGTAAAATAATAATAATAATAATAATAATAATAATAAAAATAATAATAGTAAATAAAGTGTACAATAGTACAAAAAATTTTGTTATCACTTTACTTGAATAGTTTCATAAAGTCGCACTATACAAGGATGATGGAGCATTGCGAGAATTTTCGCTTCTCGTGTTAAATTTTTCATCACATATTTTTGTCGATTTTCATTCGTATCAATTATCTTAATAGCCACCTGAAACAAAAAAGAAATAAAAACTTAGTTTTTAAAAAAAAAAACATAGAAAAATGTCTTAGAACTAATTTTTGAAACGTGAACATAGTTAAATTGTGGCTATATTCACGCCGCTTTTTAGGGAAGTGAATTTATCTAAAATAGGCTGTATTCACGCTGCAAATTTAGGGGCGTGAACGTAGAAAAAAATCGGCTATATTCACGTCATTAAGTGAAGAACGTGAACTTAGCCAAAATCGACTATTTTCACGTTGCTGACTCAGGGATGTGAACGTATAGTTAAATTCGACTATATTCACGTCACTGAGTCAAGGACATGGAGGTATACTTTAAAATCGCGGCTATATTCACGCCGTTAAATCAGGTACGTGAACGTAGCCAAAAACGACTATATTCCCATCACTGAGTCAAGGACGTGAATGTAATCAAAATCGACTATATTCACATAATTAAAAATGAACATTTTATCAAAATTAAAACTTAAACATAACCTAAAAAAATTTTTTTCTTTTGCCTCTAAAGTATACCTTTTCTTGTGTTGGCGTCACATTAGCGGCGAATTTGGAGGAAAACATTGAAAGTAAAATTTAGAAAAAAAAAAAACTCGACAAAAACATTTTTGTGCATGACAAGAGATGCAAGGTGTGAGACTGTGTGTATATATAGTTAGCAAGTGGCTTAAATTGAATTTAAAAATTCACTTTTTATAATGTATGTATCTTTCACATTTGATCTTGAATTCATGTGCAGTCACATAATATTTCATTTCTGCCAAGACAGCAAAAGAGAATGGAATTGAATCTTTTTGGTCTTGCGTCTCTCCCTCGTTTCCTTTTCTCTTTCTTTGATGTATGTATGTATGTATGTATGTATGTATGTGTGCGCGCGTGGTGCGAGTATATGCCGGAGGCAGTAATTCGTTCAAACTTAAGCGATTCGAGTGTCAGGGGGGTCTCTCTCTCTCACTCACTCTCTTTTTTTCGAGGGCGATTTTGCCAAGGGGTGTTGAAGGAGGAATCGAAGAAGGGTGCGTTCCACAAAAGATGTGCGATGAATTGAAATGTTGACTTAACACTATATTTCTACAGTTATGCTAACCTCAATCCTCTCTCAAAGTCCTACGACAACTGTATTTTTCTTGCCAAACAATATATATATATATACAAATCGCTTTGCCTTTTTAACCTTTTTTATTTTCTTTTCTAAAAAGAGAATACAAAAAAAAAGTTTATACAACAAACGAATTTGTCAAAATTCAAAAATTATGACATACATTGTTTGTTTAATTGATTCTTAATGTAAGAATTTTTTGAGAATCCTCATGACTATTAATTTTATTGACATAATTATTAAAGGTCCCGAAATATTTATTATCAAATTAGTTAAAATTATTATATATACAATCGAAATAGATTCTTGGTAACATACTGCAGCGCCATCTAGGCATGGCGGGAAAATTCAAAAAGTAGAAATTTATCATATATATATTTTTTTTTGGCGAAATCGGACGTGGAAGTAACGAAAAGAATTGTTTTCAATTTTTACCTTCAACATCCTGAGATTTCTTGAGTTCTTTCTCGGGGTCCCATGAACGGACAGATCGCATATCATTAGCCGAGTATAGAAAAGAGAGAGAGAGAGAGAGATAGGAAGATAAAGATACCGGCGCGCATGCTTTGATCTTTCTGTTCTATACGGATCGAGCTAGTGCGACAAGGCCCTTATACGAGAGAAACAGAAGTTGTCGAGTGAGTGTTTGTGTTCGTGTTTTATGTCTGTGCAAATGATTGAGTGTATTGGTGAGGCTTAAGGTATGCTTGACAGCCCACCCAAATGATTTGTAGCGCCCTTCGCCAGATACAAGATACTAATTCTTCGGGTACTGTCAGTTTTGGCTACCGTTTCGCCACTGTTCACTCTCTCTCCTTCTCTCTCCCTCTCTTTTCCACTCTTTCTCTCTCTCCAAACATTTGGTTACCAAATACAATTCAGTCAACGAAAATTGTCATCTTTCTGACGTTTTCAGTTAATTCCCTCTCCTTTCCCTGTTCGCTTGTATTTTGTACGATTTTTTACTATTTTAAAACATTTTCTTCAAGAAAGCAACCCCTTTTTTTTGGCAAAATTTATAAATAATAAATATTTTTGATTAAAAAAAAATTCGTATAAAAGTATAAGTGAATGAATTTAAGGTTAGGAATTCTGCAATTGACAGAAGCAGGTTTGTAACATAACCTAGAGGAAAAGTAACTTAGGCGATTGTCTATTTTAAGAGACGTGACTTTAGTTGATTGTCTATTTTCACGCCGTAAAATTATGTGATTTTAACCAAATGGCTATTTTCACGCCGTAAAATGACGCGGCTTTAGCCAAATTTCTATTTTAACGCCACGAAAAGACGTGACTTTAACCAAATGTCTACTTTCACGCCGTGAAAAGAAGTGACTTTAGTCCTATGTCAATTTTTACGTTCTAAAATGACGTGACTTTAGTTAAATTTCTATTTTTCACGCCACCAAGAGACGTGACTTTAGCCAAGTGTCTATTTTCACGCCGTAAAAAGACGTGACTTTAGCTAAATTTCTATTTTTCACGCCACCAAGAGACGTGACTTTAGCCGCAAGTGTCTATTTTCACGCCGTAAGAAGACGTGACTTTAGTCAATTATCCATTTTCACGCCGTAAACTAATAGTTTTAGTTAAAATTATATATAATTAAAACTTTGCAAGATTTTACGTTATAAATCAAAATATTTGATTTGTCAGTGCGTTTATTTTAATTTATTTTCTTTGAAATTTCGTGTTCGAACACTTTTCGTCTTCTTTTGGCTGATAAGATATAGCGCGCAACTTCTTCGATTCATCCAATTTCTTTTTCTTTTTTTTTCCACGTCACGCACTTTTACAAATCGTGACTAAAATTTCCTATTAAGGCTCTCCATTTGAAAATAAATTGCGAGTCTGATATTTCACGTACATATATATATATATAGCCTTTATTTTTCAAACTATAATACTGTGTTTAGAATCGACAACTATTCCCCAGTGAATTATTAACACACACACAATGAATTTTATTTCTCGATAAATACTCATTTAAATTCACTTCCATCAACCGCAGTGACAAAAAAAACACACAGATTTATAATCTAGAATTATAATTTATTATATTTATATATATAGAGAGAGAATTATAATTTATTTCGTAAATAAATATTAAAATCAAATCGAGATTATCTAATCCGGATGTTTTTCATGTTTGAAAAAAAAAAATTTCCCTCCTTTTTATCACATTAATATTACCCCCATTAAAATGGGGAAATTTTCCACACATTTCAAAAGAAATCAATTTTTGAATTTTTTTTTTTATTTTTCATTCCTCACTGCAAAAAGAATTATCTTATTATAAGACACATTGGAAGCAAGTTACCAAAAGTATCTTCCTATCTATCTTATATATCTTAAGAAACTAATGCATTTTAAGATGTTTTTGATAATTTATTAGAAGCAAGTTGTAAAAAACATCTTAAAAAGGCGACCAAAACATCTTAAAATAAGATACTTCTTTTTGCAGTGCTATCGCAATTTTTTTCTTAATATAAAAATAAGTAATAATAATAAAATAATATTAGTAATGATAATAATAATAATATTATTTTATTATTATTATAATAATTATAATAATAATTATTATTATCATTATTACTACTATTATTATTATTATATATACTGTTGGTTATGTGTAAACATGCTTTTCGAGGAGATCTCGTTCAAGTACATAAATCCCAAAGATTTCCGATAAAAATACTATATATACTGGAAAAAGTATATACGCGCGATGTTTTCGTGAAAATAAATAAAGAGGGGTTGCGTTGCGGTCAAATATGAATTACTGTCGGGAAGGGACTGTCCACCGACCGATATTTTTGGGGGTAGAATGGAGAAAAAAAAATATGTATCTGACGGAAATTTTTCCCGGCACAAACCCTCATGGTTCGCTAGTTTCTGTATATATATATATATATATGTGTGTGTATTAAAAGCCCACTAAATTCAAGCCAAAAGGAGATGCTTTTGGACTCAAAAACCTCGAGATTTGAGATGTGATTTTTTTTTTATTTTATTTTTTTACAAGTGCCTATACGCGAGTTTGCATTAATGCGTTTACCTTGCTGATATGTGCCCTCATCCCTATCGTGTTCTCCAGAAGCTCCTGCGCGAGGAGAATCTAAAAGACCCTTTCGAGAGAAAAGAGAACTTGAAAATCGAGTGGAACGCCATACAATTACATGGCGAGCTATGTATAGTACAATACTTGAAAAAAAAATAAAACTCGAATGCATATATAAAAGAGTATTTCAGATTTGAAAAAAGGATAAAAAAAAATCCGTTTTTCATCAAAAACCCTTTGGATGTAGTTTCAACTCTTTTTTGTTTTTAATGAAAAATAAGGGAAAATAATGTGAAATTTTTTTTTATAGTTTAGCTCAGATGGTAAAGTCACGTTTTTTTTCGTAAATTTTCATCTAGCGTTCGATTCTTATCGAAGGATAATTTTTTTTTCAAACTTATTTTCTTTAGTAAATTAAAAAAAAATTAATGTAACCATTTTTTTTCCCCATTTTAGCTCAGATGATAATAAAGTCGCATTCTAGTAAATTTTTATCCCGCGTTCAATTCTCCCCGAGGCGAGGGGGCAATAATTTCATTTTTTTTTTCCGCAAAATTAAAAAGCGTTGTGGCAAATGACATTGGAGATTAATTCTCACGCTTCTTTTTATATCAAAAAAAAAAAAAATGAAAAAAAAATTGGGATTGATATAAAAAAAAAGGTCTGCAGCAAATTGAAAGCGTGTGTGTGTCAAAGTGTTCTCACTTATCTGCCAAGTACCGGTAATCGCACCCCTCGCTCTTTACCCCCTCCTCATTCCCCTCCCTCAAATTTCCCAAAGATTCACCCGACAGTCATTTTTTGCCCTTCTCTCTCTCTCTCTCTCTCT